CTGTAAATTCGTCAAGTCCATTTACAGATGAAAAAATTCGTCTGTAATTTGCCACCTGAAAGATCAGTTAAAAACGACCATATTTACAGACGAATAAATTTGTCTGTAACTCTCGCTATAAAATTTCCTCCTATTTTTAAATTACAGATAAAAAAAATCTGTCTATAATTCCTGTTTATACGATTTCACGTCAAATGGCGGGCAAATTACAAACAGATTTTACAGACGGATTTTAATCTGTATGTAATACAGACAAATTTTTCAGAAAAAAAAAATAATTCACAAATCTGTCTGTAAATAGTGCTTTTCTAGTAGTGCAATCCCAATAGATATATAATAATCATTAAAAACTTGAGATGTAAATTCACTAGCATTATCAAGGTATATTTTCTTAATTGGATAATAAGAAAAATGAGCTCTTAACGAATTATTTGTGCAAGTATCTCACAAACACCTGGTTGCAAGTTGACAATAAACAAACAAACATGTGACCATCTCGTTAATGCATCAATTAAAACCATAAAATATCTAAATGGTCCACATGATGGGTGTATTGGGTCCACAAATATCACCTTGTATACGTTTTAAAAATATAATAGATTCATTCCTAATTTTAGCTGGTGATGGTCGACTAATTAGTTTTCCTTAAGAACAAGCAACACATGAGAAATCATTTGATTGAAGAATCTGCTGGCTTTTTAATGAATGTCCACATGAATTTTCAATTATTTTTCGCATCATGATTGATCCAGGATGGCCTAATCATTCATGTCAAATAAAAAAGTTATCATGATTTGTAAACTTCTGGTTTACAATAATGTGTGTTTCAATTATATTTATATGTGTGTAATATAAACCAGAAGAAAAAAGAAGGTAATTTTTCTAACACACATTTTTTATTTAAGATAATTTTTGTGATATACATGTATTCTTCTCTTCCTTCATTTGTTGTTTCAACATGGTATCTATTTTTGCAGATATCTTTGAAACTTAATAAGTTTCTATGAGACTTAGTGGAGTATAATGCACTAACAATGTGTAATTTTATTCCACCAGACAACAATATATTAGCTCTACTGGAACCTTCAATAATCTTTGTACTACCAGATATAGTACTCACATTAGCTTGTTGCATCACTAAATGAGAAAAATATTTTTTATTTTTGAGAATTGTGTGAGTTGTTGCACTATCAACAAGACATATGTCTTCATTGTTAGTGTCGTCCATAAGAACATTCATTCTTCATTGCAAAAATAAATAATAAAAAAATAAATTAGATACTAAAAGAAATGGTAAAAATTTATTATTTTATTATTATTTATTTACATTGACTATATTAAAATTTAATTTAAATAACAATTGTATCAATAAAAAAAATAACTATAATACATGACAATTTATTTAATTATTACTATTTTTTAGAGAGAAAAAAATACATTAAACATAAATTAACGTATAAAAAAAAGCATAATAACTCAATAATAATAGAAATAATAATAAAATTATTTTGAACACTACCATATAATCATAAATAAAATTATTAACAAAAATAATAATACATCACTAATGAGATTGTCATTTTTTTTTATCTTGATCAGCAAAATGATTGGCAACATCTAAGTGGGTAACGTCCATATGATTATAAAATTATTATCATTTTCATAAATAAAATTTATCTCTATTTTTTCCTTATTTTTAACTGATTCTTGACAATGATCAATAAGATGCTTTGGTGTACGACAAATACATGATCACTGACCTTTGCTTCCACAACACATATGTTTTTCGTATTTTAACCACTTTGGGTACCTTTATCCTTTTTCAATTTTCTTACTATTTTTTCATTTCTGATGTAAAAATTGTATATTTCTAATTATCACAACGACTATGTACATAATCATTACCACAATAGTAAGTTTGTACATAGTTATAATAGTGACGAGTTGTTACATTCACTTCTGAGAATGGAGCAATGCCAATTAGATGTGGTTTATGATTTTTTTTTTTTATCAAAACCTCATTATTTTATTCAACTACAAGAAAACAAGAATAAATTCAGAATATTTTTGATTCATTTTTCATGATATTGCTGCTGCAGGAGCATGTGCGTGAAAAATTGAGAATGTTTTTTCTTTTAACGTATACTCATCAAAAATATTTTCTCCATACAATTTTAATTGAGATTACAATAAATAAATAATGATATATTTTTATAAGAAAAATAAAAATAAAATAATATCGTACATTTATTCAACAATGTTCCTTTCTTGAAAAAGTGTATGCTAGAGTCTTGTGCTGATAACGTGTTATGAAATGAACGTAAAATTATAAGGAAAAATAGAGAGAAGAATATAGAGAGGAAGAGAGAATCTCAATTTTATTTCACCTATCCTCAATACAAATAAGACACTTATTTATAGGCCTAAAGTTATAACCGAAGAATTGTATCTTTTTGAATGAGAATTAAACAAAATAGTTACAAAATCGTAAATTACAAAGAATAAGGAAAAGTTATAAATATGGACATTCATTCATATAATAATTCATAACATAAAACAAATTGTCAAGCGTTATAATTGTTTTTTTCATTAACATAGTTGTTATTTAAATTAAATTTTAATATAGTCATTTTAAATAAAAAATTAATTTTCAATCATTTTTAATATCTAATTTTTTTATTTTTTTTTGCAATGAAGAATGAATATTCTTTTGGTTGACACAAATAATAAAGACATGTCTCATTGGTAACACAACAATCACATAAAAAATATTTTTATCATTTAGTAATGCAATAAGAAAATGTTAATATTATATCTTATAGTACAAATATTATTGAAAGTTATGGTAGAGCTAATATATTGGTTTCTAGTAGAACAAAATTACATATTATCAGTGCATTATATTCCACTAAGTCTCATAGAAATTTATTAAGTTACAAGGATATTTAGAAAAATGAATACCAAATTGAAACAACAAATAAATGAAAAGTAGAATACATTTATATCACAAAAATTATCTCAAATAAAAAATGTGTATTAGAAAAATAATTTTTTTTTATTTCACATAAAAATATAATTGAAACACACATTATTGTAAATTAGAAGCTTATGAATCATAATAATTTTTTTATTTGACATGACCGATTAGATCATCCTAGATCAACTGTGATGCAAAAATAATTAAAAATTCATATAAAATTTTCATTGAAGAGTCAACAGATTCTTTAATCTAATAATTTTTTATGTGTTTGTTCCCATGGAAAAATAATTGCTCAACCGTCACCAACTAAAATTAGAAATAAATCTCTCATATTTTTAGATTGCATACAAGGTGATATTTGTATACCAATATACTCATTATGTTGATCATTTAAATATTTTTATAGTTTTAATTTATGCATCAACTAGATAGTCACATGTTTGTTTGTAGTTAACTCACAACTAGGCATTTACAAGATTGCTTGCACAAATAATCCATTTGAAATATTATTTTCCTGACTATTTAATTAAGAAAATACACCTTAATAATATTGGTGAATATATGTCTCAAGCTTTTAATGATTACTATATGTCTATTGAAATTGATACTGAGCATCTGATCGCACATATATATACTCAAAATGGACTTGCTGAATCATTAATCAAGTGTATAAAATTAATTGCAAGATTATTATTAATGGGAGATCAAAACTTCCAATTTCTACTTAGGGACATGCAATAAGCATTTGAGTTGTAGATCAGTTGGAATAAATTATCTTTATCTTATCTTGATCCTCAAACAAAACAATATAAATTGAAAGTTTAAAAAATAATTCATTTGTAAGATTTAACCAACCAACTAACAAATATGTTTGCAAATCCAAAGATAGTGATTAAATTATATGTGTCAGCTAATAATGCTTCAATCAAAATCAATGTTCTAATTGAATAATCTACTGTTACAGATGGGTTTAAATCATGTATTGAGTTGTAGACCTTTCATTTTCAAAGATAAAAATCATTAAAAAAGAAAATAATATAAAAATCAAGACTATCAAATTAAGGATGTACAAACTTTATAAAAGTCATCGAACATAGTTAATAATTAAATTCTTGAAGAAATATAGGTGCAACCCTAACCGTAGATTTAGTTACTCATAATAAAGCAAACAACAAAAACTATTGTAAACAAATCCATAAAAACTCAAGTTTAGGATTTAAACTAAAAGAACCCAAAGAGAAAAAAGATAAAAAAAATTCTGGTTCTTCAAAAAGTGCTCAATTTGAAGAAACTGTTCACATCATTACCTTTTAAAATTGTTTTTTTTTCAATGAAAAATATTTAAAATTTAAATAAAATTTTGAGAAATTTTGGTGAAAGAAAATTGATAGAAAATAAATTTGTATAATTTAAAAAAGTCAATTAGTTAAAAAAAATTAAAATCACACATAACTCAAACTACAATTAAAGCAAAATTTATGCAACATTTTTACTATGCAAATTTTAAACTTTTTTTTCATGAAAAATTTAAATTTTTTATCTAATAATGAAAAAAAATTAATTTAATAAATGAATGTAATAAGGATTAATTAATTTAACATATACTTATTTTATCTTATGTGTTTAACACATGAGTTAAAATATATTAAATTGACACTCATTAAAAAATTTAATTACTTAATATGTAAATATGAACATTTATGTTTTAAATGTAAGAAATATTTTCAAAAAAATATTTATTTATTCCTTTAACTTATAAAATATAAAATACAAAAAAAATCTTAACGAGTATTTGTCAATAATAATATAAAGATGATTTGAATTTCATTCATAACAATATTTTTTTTTACCATATTAATAACAATACTTTAAATATTATGTTATAAATAGTTTATATCTATTTATGGATTAATTATTTTTTATTATAATTACACTTTTATCTAATGTTTTATTTTTTATAATAATATATTTCCTTTTTTTAAAAATTTAATATATGAACTAAATTATGTATTGTAACTTGGGCCGGTTGGGAATGCAACCCGATAGTGTCTCCTTCAACCTAGAACCGTGGTTTCTTCTCACACCTCTGGCCCTCTTTTCTCTGGTTTGAAATATAACGCTTGCCATGCCTGTAGTTTGATTTATTTTCATAACCTCTTTTCGATTCAGTGTTCTTCAGTTTTGACCTGAAGATTACGTGTGTTATAAGGGGACGATGGTTCAATATAACTTCAAGAAGATCACTGTGGTGCCCAATGGGAAGGACTTCGTTGACATTATCCTCTCTCGCACGCAGCGTCAGACACCAACGGTTGTTCACAAAGGATATGCAATTTCACGCCTTCGCCAATTCTACATGCGCAAAGTTAAGTACACTCAGCAGAATTTTCATGAAAAGTTGTCTACTATTATTGATGAGTTTCCTCGCCTCGATGATATTCACCCTTTCTATGGCGATCTCTTACACGTACTCTACAACAAAGACCATTACAAGCTTGCTCTTGGACAAATCAACACTGCCAGGAATCTTATTGGTAAGATTGCTAAAGATTATGTCAAGTTATTGAAGTATGGCGATTCCTTGTATCGATGTAAGTGTTTAAAGGTGGCTGCTCTTGGCCGTATGTGTACTGTGATTAAGAGGATTGGCCCTAGTTTAGCTTATTTAGAACAGGTTAGACAACACATGGCTAGGCTTCCATCCATAGATCCTAATACAAGGACTATTTTGATATGTGGGTATCCTAATGTTGGCAAGAGCTCTTTCATCAACAAAATTACTAGGGCTGATGTGGATGTGCAGCCTTATGCTTTCACTACCAAGTCCCTCTTTATAGGTCATACAGACTATAAATACCTAAGGTACCAGGTAATTGATACGCCCGGGATTCTGGATAGGCCTTTTGAAGATCGTAATATTATTGAGATGTGCAGTATAACTGCCTTAGCACATTTGAGGGCTGCAATTTTGTTTTTCTTGGATATCTCTGGGTCTTGTGGTTACAGTATTGCTCAACAGGCAGCTCTATTTCACAGCATTAAGTCTTTGTTCATGAACAAGCCGCTTATTATAGTCTGCAACAAGACTGACTTGCAACCATTGGAGGGGGTACCTGAGGAAGACATGAAGTTGGTCATGGATATGAAAGCTGAAGCCTTGAAGACTCTGGTCGGTCAAGGAGGTGAGGCTACGGATGATGATAGTGTGTTGTTGACCATGAGCACTCTGACAGAAGAAGGGGTCATTGCAGTGAAAAATGCAGCATGTGAGAGGTTATTGAATCAGAGGGTGGAGATAAAAATGAAGTCAAAGAAAATTAATGATTGCTTGAATAGGTTTCATGTTGCAGTACCTAAGCCTCGTGACCAGAAGGAAAGGCCACCGTGCATCCCTTCGGCAGTTTTAGAAGCTAAAGCTAAGCAAGCAGCTGAGAAGGAAAAGAGAAAGACTGAAAAGAATCTGGAGAATGAAAATGGTGGGGCAGGTGTATACTCAATGAACCTGAGAAAGTGTTATATTTTAGTATACTCAATGAACCTGAGAAAGTGTTATATTTTAGCCAATGATGAATGGAAAGAAGATATACTCCCAGAAATTTTGGATGGACACAACGTGTATGATTTCATTGATCCTGATATTCTGCATAGGGTCGAAGAATTGGAAAGAGAAGAAGGGCTGAGACAGGCAGAAGCCGAAGATGATGATTTTGAGATTGATGGAATTGAATTGATGCCTGAACAGCTAGCTGCTTTAGCTGAGATTAGGAAAAAGAAAAGCTTGCTCATCCAGCAGCATAGGGTGAAAAAGAGCACTGCAGAGAGCCGACCAACTGTTCCAAGGAAATTTGATAAGGACAAGCAGTTCACATCAGAAAGGATGGGAAGGCAGCTGTCATCTTTGGGGCTTGATCCCACTTTGGCAATTAAGAGAATGCGTAGCCGATCTGTCTCTAGGAAAGGTCGGAAAAGGGAAAGATCACCTGAAATGAGAAGTGTTGATGGTGGAGATAGGATGGATATTGATGGTGACACACCTAGCAAAAAGCAGCGTATGAGTAGATCAAGGTCACGGTCCAGGATGGTGTCATGCCTATCAAATGAAGTTGTGCCTGGAGAGGGCTTCAGGGATTCTGCTCAAAAGGTCAAGGCAATTAAACTTGCAAAGAAGTCTGTCAAGAAGAGAAACAAGGATGCACGTCGTGGTGAAGCTGATAGAGTCATACCTAATCTGAAGCCCAAACACTTGTTTTCTGGAAAGTGCTCCATTGGAAAGACTGAGAGACGTTAAAACAGGTATGTGCCTTGCCTGTGCAGCTTGCCTTATTTATCATGTACCACTGTACCAGACCAAAAAATTCACTACTTGCTCATGAGTCTGCCATTGAGTACTTTTGTCACAAATAACTACCCAGCTTTATTGATTAGTAACTGATTTTCCTTGGCGTGCATTCTTTACATAATATGATATACATGTTTTCTGATCTAAGAAGTTGGTTTTCTGTGTCACTAGTCACTGATGTCAGTAAATTATTTTCTCTGTAGGGGATGCTGATTTATGCTTTTCAGAGACATCTGCTGGCAATTTTGTGGCTGCCAAGATTTTTTTTTTTTTTTTAATATAAGTTGTGTTTTGTTAGATTTTAAGGTGCAGCTAGGCCACCGTGTTTATTTATACACCTTTGCCTCATTTTATTTTATTCTTATCGTTACAACTTGTCATTCCGTCAGACTTTATTTATTTAGTTCAATTTTGGAGACTATGTATTATCAAGGAAGCTTCTGTTTCATTTTTTAGAGAAAACATTGAGTGCCTTGGTTTTGATTTTGAAGTTTCAATTCTGTGATTGGTTTCGATGGATTTCTTTATTAATTGATTTTATCATCTCAAATGTATGCCTTGTTACGCATTGGAGGTTTTGGCTCGAAAACGAATACAATGAGATAGAGGTGGCAGATCAGGCAGAATCACCATATCATGGAACGTTCCTTCTCATGGAGCCTGAAAACACAATGTTACTATCATTTAGCAGCTTGAATGCCTTGATTTTTATTTTCAATTTGAAAGTGTTTAATCAATGCCTTAATTAGTTTCAGCATATGTTGCCCCATAAATGACAAATAAGAAAAAGGGTTGAGAGGAAGATTTTAGCTGGTGATTTGAGAAGAATATGGCCTCTCAAAAGTCCTTGGAATCATTTGTATTCTTTCAGTTAATAGAAACTTTTCTTTTTTCAGTTCTGATCCAGTTCTATCATCTTGTCTCCAATCAATGTTATATTAATATAAAACAACATGCTGCTGCATAATCAAACGTTAATTTTCCAATTTCTACTATTTCTGCTGCCAGTTCGTATCCCCTTTCTATTATTCTGGTTGGAGTTGGTGATGGACCTTGGGATGACATGAACAAGTTTGACGACAAGATACCAACACGTGATTTTGACAATTTTCAGGTATAACATAGTAGCTGAGAATTTAATCCTGTATTTGTGTAACTTAGATGTTTTGGTCCCTGTGACCAATGTAGACAGACAAATAATCAACATGTGCCACCTTTTTTTAGCCACAACATTATTTAGTGGTCAAGACTCAATAGGAGCTAATGCTGACTACGAAAAAATCTGGGACTAAAACCATAAAAGAATGTTTGAAGGGTATAAAACAAAGTCTTGTAAAAATGGACTACAAACATTAAGTCTATTTGCATCTTTGCAATGGCTTTGTTTTATTAAAATCATTTCCACCCTTTTGTACAGTTTGTTAATTTCACTGAAATAATGTCTAAGAATACAAGCTCCTCTCAGAAAGAAACTGCTTTCGCTCTAGCTGCATTAATGGAGATACCTTTCCAATATAAAGCGGGCATTGAACTTGGACTACTTGGGTAAGTTCCTTATACTTTGGGTCCAATCTTATAATCAATATGGTTTTCTTTCAGCTGACTATGTTAACAATTTTTTGTTTGATGATTATTCATTAGTTTTTCTTCTATTTTTGTATTTTGGACAAAAGTCGTTCAACAGGAAGGTCAAAGAAAATTTTCCAAGACCTCCTCCTCCAGCTCCTTATTGTCGGTCTGTGCTACCAGCTCATGTTCTGAGCACGATGCCAGCATTCATAGATGATGAGCAAAACCAAATGGTATACCTATGATTGAAATCTAGAGTGATTCATTACATTCTCCTTTATCATTGCCTAGCATGTTAAATTGTGTACAAGAAACAGATAATTTATTTTCGGGTAAATTAGAATTTACTCCCATGTAGTTTTTAACACTTATTCAGCTTACCCCCCAAACATTTTTCTTATCACGAAATCCTCTGAATTTTGAGTTGAAGTGAAAAATGTTAACCCACCAAATTAACCACGGTTGATGATAAGCCTAAATCCATAACTAATGATGTAAAGTTAATAGAATTTAGCAATTTTCATTTAAACTCAAACTTTCAAGGATGTTTTAACGACAATAAAGAAGTTTAGCAGGTACGTTGAGAAATTATTAAATTACAAGGGGTAAAGTATAACGCTTTATTTTTTATTTTTTTTGTGAACAAGCAGAAATAAAGGGTGGATTAAAGCAAACCTGACACCAAACAGACCATAAAATGTTCTACGTTAGCTAAGAATATGGTTAGAATAGTCCTTAAAAGGCTTTAGATAATTCTCCTCCTATGATTTAGTTTTTGAGAATGAGTTACTCCAATTTTTCTAACATGGTATTAGAGCCTGTGTAGTTTGAATATTGGGCTATCTGCAAATGTCCACTCTTAGAAATTTCACACACCAGATGAGATTCGCCAACTTTACTAAAATAAAATGCCTAACCACAAACTTTTTTTTTTTTTGGCTAGCAAACTTACAAGTTATGTACTACTACCCTTGATTATTGCTCTAGTATAAAGTTATTGATGGAACAAGGTTTTCTTTTCTTCTAAGTTTGAAGTTGCAAAATGATAATTTTTGTGTGTTTTTATCCAACAAAATTATGTAGATATGTGCGATTTGTCTGACTAATGGAAAGGATTTGGCTTTTGAATGTGGTCACATGGTAAGTCTCATTAAATTCATGGTCTCCTTTCTATTCTGTTGTTGGATATTTAGTTTTATGATTTTTAACAAATTTTGGAATTCAGAATTGTAGAGACTGTGGATCCAAGATAAGCAATTGTCCCATATGCCGCTAGAGTATCACTACTTGCCTTAGGGTTTTTGCTGGCTGATTACATAAGGAAAGTCCTGTACATTAAATATATAATTTGACTGATAGCATGTTTAGTTTAGCTTAATTTTAAAGAAGTAATCGCTTATTTTTCAAAAGAAATTGAAAGAAATAAGTGATTATTTCTCTAAAAAAAATAAATCAAACATGCCCTGAAAGATAACTGTCTTTTGTACGTTTGATGGTGTGGCTGTTAAGAGTGCTCTAAGAATGGCCATGGTGTTGCATGAAAATGGTGACTTGGCTTTGTAGGGATGGTCTAGGAGTAGAAAAAATTGTGCATGGATTTGTAAGCTGTTCAGTTGGCTAATGTCCAAGATGTGTTTGAATTTGAAAAAAAAAATTACTCTAGTCAATGCACAATGTATATATTTTTTAAAGGTTAAAATTTATGCGTGGTTAGAGGAGTGTGAAAGATACCACTGGAATTCCACACATTATTAGTTACATTATGCAAGTTATGAACTTGGATACTTACTTCCAGTGTCCTTTAATTTTTCTCGAAGACCAATATATGGTTTATTCTACTAATAGCACACATTTTTTGGGAATAAATTGAAGATTTGTAATCACTGAGAGTGGGGGTCTTCAGCAATTTTCCACCTATCACAAGCCTGAAATCCTGTCTCTCAATTCAGCACCATCATCCTCCTCCCAGATTTGCCCCCACCATCATCGGAACTTGCCCAGCCAACAACCACTGAAATATTGTCGAGCTTGCACCCCAGTTCCAAGGTTCTGAATGTGTAAAAGCTTCCAAGTAGTGGGTCTCTTTTATTTTCTTCCCTTAATCGGCCAGTATTATATAATACTACATTAAAGAGTAACAAACTAGCAAAGAGGGTTTAAAAGTTTCAATAATTTTTTACTTGTTTTTAGTTTCGTGTTTGGTTTTGGTTAGCTATGTAGCAAGTCCTGTAATAACTTTGGATTAAAAATAAACCAACTAATGATAATAATAAATAAATAAAGATAAAATATAGGTAAATTTGGTAACAAACTTATACACATCGTTGATAATGTTCTTGTATCAAATGACCAAAACTATATTTCAATTAGGTGATAACAAATATAACATTTTATTTGACAAAAGAAAATGTGATGTGAGTATCTAATCTTGTATCTCTAAAGAAGTAGAAGAGACAACAAGCTTATTTATAGTTGTTATGACTTGATATTTGATAAGCATCTAAGTCCATATCTCTAAAGTAGTAGAAGAGATAAAAAAAAAGTTATCACATTTGCTATGATTTTAGATTTGATGAAGAAAAAAGTGATGTGAGCATTTTGATGAAGAAAAAAGTGATGTGAGCATTTAAGTCCACATTGCTAAAGAAGTAGAAGAGACAACAAGTGTACTACAATTATTGAATGTAACAAGCGTTGTTGAAGGCATTAAACAATCCCAAACTAAGTTACCTTAGTTGAGTCTGAAAATTGCCTTCAAACAAAAACAACTTACTTCTACACAACCACCAAAGAAGTATAAGTTTGAAACCCTTATCCTCAAATTCCCTATTCACTGTGAGATTGATCCAGAGAATATCAAATGTGCAAAAAGCATTTAAGGCTAAAGCTGTAAAGGAAAATTCAAGCCTTGCTAGCTATCCACTTCATATATTCATGCAAGTGCACAATCTCCAAGCAAATGTGAGAATTAGAATTCAATCGATCATTGCTAAAAAGAAAATTTAAAGATTAAAAAAGCATGCTACAAAAGAGAAAAGACGATAAAACGCATACAAAAGCTCAAGCAAGCTATTCGATGACATAATGAAGCTGTCTTTACCATCATACATGTGAAAATCTGAAGACTGATTTAGAAAGTTTGATATGCTACTTCCTTACATATGATTATTTTTAAACATTCACTTATCACAAGTCACCTTTTTTCTAAGAGTGATCACAAGTCAGGTTGGATTGTTGTTTTCCTTTTTTTTACATGTGACTTGGATCGACGCAACCTGATCATGAACATGTTAGTTTTGGTTAAGTAATTAGGCCTTTACATAAAATTAATTTTTTTTATTTTATAAAATTTAATAATTATTAAATTAAATTAATCTATTAATATGTATATACAAAATTTTGATTTATAATTAAATAATGAAATTTTTTTATCAAAATTAAATTTAAAAATATAAATAAAAATATTACAAATATTTTTTTTTATGTGATTGGGTTGGGTTGAGTCGAGTTTATCGGGTTATGAAAAAATAAATTTAATATCCAACTTGTAAATAATCAAATTTATACTTTTAAGACCCGGTTACTTAACTTAATTTGTTAATTTTTGTTTGAATTGGATTGAGATGATTAGGTTGGTTGGATTTACTCGGCACATGAACACTTCTACTTTTTTTAATCTTTACTACACAAAAACCTAAAAAAATCATCTCAATCTCAACAATTGACACCTAAGCTAACTTGAAAACTTTCCACTCTTCCCATAGGCCAAAAACAAGATCTCTAACCAAAACTAACCACATCTTATGAAGGTGGATGCACCACCAAAATCTTCACTTCAACTCTAGTCCTAGAAAATTTTCTTTAGCTTTGCTTTTGCTTCTTATGACATTGGTATTGTACAAAAATTATAATAGGTTTTTCTTTAAGAAAAAAATAAAAGATTAATAAAAGATGACTTTTGAAGGCCTGAATGACCAGAAGACTTTCTTAGTTCATCTCTATCTATAAATAGAAAATTGAAGATAATTGAAAAGTGTCAAATCAATTATTCAAAGAATGAGATGAAAGAAGCCTTAGAACATTTATCACTAATCAACTCAAATTTCTCAAATAGTAGAACTTTGTTATTAGAACTTCAAGAGTAGAACATGATTATAACAAACACTTGAAAGTTGCATTGCAAGGTTTGATAACTTAATTTAGATGCTTTACATCCTTTCTTCTAAAAATTCTTCTAATCATGATAAGGATAATCTTCTTCTTCTCTCTTGTCTTAAGTCTAACTAACTAGTAGAGAGATTCAGGGTTGTCCAAGATAAATGCAACAAAACCAAATGGCAAACTACTCACGTTTGATTATAAGATTTGCATGATCACTCATACATTGCCTTTAAGATTGTTCAATCTTAAAAAGTTGATACCCAATAGTTTTATTTTTTCATGAAGTTTTATAAAATTGATTTACTTAATAAGAATATTTAAATCAACGGTTAAATTAGTAATCTTACAAATTTATTACCTGATTAAATATGCAAGTTTGAACCTAATATATAAATACACACACAAATATCTATATCTATATCTATATATATATATATTATGCACTTTTAGTTCCTAATGTTTTGTTAAAATAATTATGACTCTATTTTTAAAATTATGCAAACTTAATTTACTATCAATTTTTTTTACCTTAAACTTATTAATTCTAATTTTTTATACAGAAAATTTAAAAGATTAAATTACGTTTTATTCAAATTTTACTTGAAAAGATTCTTCAAATTTTTACACATTATAAAATTCTATAATCTTTATTAATAGGCAACGATTTTTTTAAACCTTTAAATTGTTTTTATTCTAATTTTATGATAAAACTTTAAACTTTTAATAAAAATTTGAGGATTTTTAGTGAAATAAAATTTATAGAAGATTAAATTTGTATAATTTTAAAATAAAAAATTTAATTAGTTAAAAAATTAAGAGACAAAAATCACACATATCTCAAATTACAAATAAACCAAAATTCATCCAACATTTTTATCATGCAAATTTTAAACTTTTTGTCATTGAAAATTTTAATTTTTTTTAATCTAATAATAACACAATTTTAGTTTAATAAGTGGATATAGATAAAAAAAAATAGTTAATCTAAAATATAATTTTTTATCTTATGTATTTAACTCATAAATTAAAATATATTAAATAGACACTCATTAAATTTTTTTTTGTTTTCCATTTGATTTAATTCGAATCTGACCCAGATTGCGCACCTAGACGTGGTAATGGGTCTACTACTGAAAATTTTTTTACATGCACAAAGACTTGAACTTAAAACCTTACTTAAGCGATACTAAGTCGTTTGATACTTGGATCAACCTCCATTAATCACTCATAAAACTTTTAATTTTTAAATATGTAAATATTGACATTTCTGTTTTAAATATAAAAAATATTTTTTAATAAAAAATTTGTTTATTTCTTGAACTTATATAAAATTTAGGGTGAGTCTCTTCTTTGCTTTCTAAGTTTTTTTCACTCATTTTTTCTATGACTTGAAATTTAATGCTTGCAATGCTGAGGTTGAATAGAAATTATTTAAACAAATTTAATAATATTAGCTTGTTGTAAATCATCTTTGGTAACTAAAATAATATCATTTGTAAAAAATTAAATAAAGAATTTTTGGACCCTAAATGTTAACAGGAAAAGGGACTTAATCATACACTTAAAATTTTATTTGTAATTAATTGGATGAATCATTCCATATGCAAAATAAAAAGATAGGGGATAATGGATCTTCACGGTGAATACTCTAATTTTAAAATTATGTAAACTTATTTTTTTTATCAAATTTTTTCCTAAAAATTTTTAATTCTATTTTTTATTAAAAATTTTTATAAATTGAAATGATTAAATTATATTCTATTCAAATTTAACTTAAAAAAATAATTAAAATTTTCTTCTATATAGAATACTATTAAACAAGTACTTTCACCAATCAATGCATCGTAACAAAGAACAGTAAATTTAAATGATACAGAAACTTTTTAAAATTGTTTTTGTTTTTATTCTATGAATATGCAAGGTAGAACTTACGAAGAGTAAAAAGTGGATGTATAAAGGGACCTGAATAAAATTACAAGCGAAGAGGATTAGATGAATAAACATCATCTTCCACATAAAATTTCTTTTGCTTTACAATCTGTGATGAGAGAGTGGAAAACCAAAGCTTCATATTCATAGGATATCATAATTTATTCAATTTATGCTGTGGCAAATAATGCAATGCCATTGCCAGTTTTACAATCTTTAATAATGAACTTACTATTATTCCCTAAATTCAATTTTCTAATGGTTAAAGAAGCATTTGGCCTTGGATTTATTAAGAATATGGCCTCATTTTTACTTTTATTAAGAAATGACAAATTACATTTTCATGAGCATGCCAACGTGAAGGTGTATTTTGTAATTTTGTGGACAATATTTCTAATTTAATATTCGATACAATTTTAATGAAAATATTAATGTTTGTGAATAAAGAATTTGTATTCAACACCCTAATGAATACCAAATTTAGAATTCACTAATTCAATTAACTTTCCCTATATCATAAAAGAAGCCATTTATTTATATATATATATTTTTTAATTACAACTCATATTGTTTGTGTTGAATGAAATTTAAAATGTAAATTATTTCTCAAAAGATTACACGAGAATTATTAAATTATTTTAAAAAAAATATATGCTGTATGCTTTTTTAATTTAATAAGTTATACAGTGAAAAAATCATTATAAATGAATGTTTTATTATATTAAATAGGATTAAATTTAAAATTTTTTGAAATTTAAAAGAGCTCAACATTTAAAATATTATATTTAATTAAAATCAAATTTTAATTTTAACTGAAGATTCAAACTTTTAATATTAGCATGGCTTAAATAAGTTTTTTTTATTTCTTTTCAAACAACTTTCCTATTTTAAAACATTTATATAATATCTCTGATATTAACTCGTTAATTTTTTTATATAATATTTAATTTGATTAATATAATATAATATGAAATTGATGTAGATAATAATATAATATTTACACATTCATTCATTTATATTTAAAATTTAATTCTAAAACCCTTAGTATTTTAATTTTTCAAAATATAAAAAATTTAATAATATTATTAACTTATTTTAAATACATTATAACTTACTAAAATTATACAAAATTACTGAAATATTATACAAATAAATAATAAATTATATCTTAATCAAACTATATTAAGTAACTTAAATACTAGTAAACTAGTAAATAGCAAATTAATATATAATAGACAGACATAACTTTTAAAACACTAAATTAAAAGCGAATCAAATAAAAAATTGTAATTTTTTATTATAAAGAACTTATATTTTTGAAAACTAAAATTTTAATTATAAATAATATTAAAAAATTAAATTTTTAATTTTTTTATCTAATTTAATTTGAATTTAAAATTTTACTTAAGCAATAATACTTGCCACTCAGACTAACTTCCACTAATATTGAATTTTTGTTTTCATCCATGCTCTCTCTATATATATATATGATTTTGAATATAATTTTGGAGACTTCGATACCAGTTTACTGCAAGTAATGAATTAATATATTATTGAAAATCTATATAATATTTGATAAAAAATATTATTTTGAAATATTGAAACTGAACCCTAAAACTGTAGGAGAAAAGAGAGAGAAGAAGAGAACAAATTCACAACTACGTAACAGAAAGCAATAGAGGGAATAGCCAGAAGCAGAGTCATTGACGAGGCTCTTCCTCTCAGCGAAGAACACACTCTATTTTCTGTAATCGAACAGCAACTTCTTATTCTTCTTCCTCTTCCAAGCCCTCCACTTTCTCTCTCTCCCTCGCCACTGCACATTCTGCAATACCCGACCCGAATCCCCACGGATTCGGAGCCCCGCAATACGACCCCACATTCAAAGCCTATTTCCTAGTTAACATTATCTTTTAAGCCCAATACCACAAACATTGGGTCTCGGGATTGGCGGCAGAGGGAAGGGTTTATGATATTCGTTTGCATAGACGTCTTGTCTTTTCCATTCTTCACTCTGTTCTGCGGCTCCTCTGGTTTTGACGGTGAAAATCTCGATACTGGTTCGTCGTTCGTTATACTTACATTATCGATTGTCTCATGCTTTAACTTTTGCTCTGTTGGTCTTGTGTGCATTGTTTAATGATTGTTTTGTGTTTGGGAACCTCACATTATCTGAGGCTGTCACACAGTTTCTGTCTGTGTTTTGACCTTTTCATACTCTTTGGGGAAATTAATGTATCATAAACACGACAATCAGGGTAATAGATAGTTTCATGATCGAAGGAGGGAAGAAAGAACACGTGTGTTGAAGATGCTGCATGGATAAACTCACTAATTGTTTTATCTGTGAGGATGCAATTTTTATTTTGTGAATACAAAATAAAAATTTAGAAGGGGGTGTTAGTTTGATTCTAATGGACCATTCAATTAGGCTATATGCTTTACAGCATTGTTTGTCTTTGTACAATGTGAAGTTGTAAACTAACTTTTTGTTTTCTATTTTTCCTTAGTTCTTTACCATGGTAACTGAAGGAACCGTAAAACCTCAAGTTTCAGTACGTCTACCACCACCACCACCACCACCTCGCAAAATTAATGTGCAGAAATATGCAGAATCCCGTGCCCTGGAGCTCCAGAGTCTTCAGTCTATCATAGAAAATAGAGTAAACAATGATTATAGGTCTCAAAGGAACAAGAGAAGAAGAACAACTGCCTTTGATAACCAAATTGCAAGAAAAGGGTGCAAAAGAAAGAGGCAGAAACTGGGAATAGTTGATAAAGCCCTTGCTGAATCAATTTTGGAGAAAGACCAACTAAAAAATCTTCCCCGCCGTGTTCGTCGGAGATATGAACTGAAGATAAACCCAGAAAATGGTTTTTGCACTTCTGGGGATGGAACCAAGAGGATGAGAACTCATGTTTGGCATGCAAAGCGATTTTCCATGACCAAGCTTTGGGGTTATCACCTTCCTTTTTGTATTCAAGGAAGGTAGGTCTATCATTGTTAAAAAAAAAAAAAAGAACTTATGAGAGACAATGGGGGAAATAGTTAATTTCATGATGATGGGTTGTGTGACTTTGTTGGGATGTATTTGAATTGGATCATGGAAACGTGATGCTATTGCATGTTTTAACATTCCCTTGGAAACAAAACACTGACAAGGCTTGTGCATGTTCTTATGCAGAGGGAAAGGTTCAAGGGCACTCTTGAAAAGGCTCAAACAAGGGGTTCTTGTACACGATGCGAGCTATTATACTGCTGTTCAATTGGAGGGTCCAGAGGTTTTTTATTTTAGTTTTAGTTTTAGTTTTTTTTGTTCGAAATTTCTTCTTTTTCACTGTTAAATGTCTGAATCTAAGAGACTCACTTAACTGTTATTCTGATTGAAACATATTGAAATGTATGCATCAAATAATTATTACAGTTTCTCAGCCCCCAAATAATTTTCTTAGTTTTATTTAAGGTTGACTCTTGTATACAGGATTCATTACTGTCAGTGTTAAGAATGGTACTGGAGCCCTCTCCGGCAACAGCAACACATCCTGAAAATCATGATGACTCTGTTCTTTCTGGTGTAACCTATGGAAGTGCAATGGTAATGATTCTGTCACTGACTCTACTAAGTGGCAGCTTGATTTGGTTAAACTAAATCAAATGTTGTTTCGTGCAGCTTTATCAAGTTGGAGCGTCAGTTCCTCAGCCAATTGCTCCTGTGACCTATATATGGAGACCCACTTCCCAACAAAATATGAGTTCAGAGCTAGATGGAAGAAATCATTATACTTCATTTAGACAGCATGATATCAGTAATGATTCAAAGGACGAGGATGTCAAATTATGTGAAAAATCAGACAGATTGAAGCAGGATTATTCATTTAGACACCTTTGGGTGTGGATACATGCTTCTGCCTTTGAAGAAGGATATGATAATCTAAAACTTGCATGCCAGAAAGAGGTTCACTTTCTTCTTTAGCTTCTTCTATGGACATTCCACTTGTATTTTGATTCTTTTATTTTTTTTAATTCATAGTATATTTTTATAAACCCAAAACCAAAGTCCAACTTTTCAGATAGAAAGGGTTGTGAAAATAGAGAAGATTTAAAGAAAGATAAGAACTGGAAGAATAATCTGTGTCATGTAAAAAATGAAAGTACAAAGGAGAGAATTCTCCTTCCAAACAAAGCTAATGCACTATTTTCAAATGCTAGCAATGCAAAATGGATAAACTACAACTGTTCTACATCCCATCTTTTATTTAAACTAACCACTTAACTAATTCTGTAGTAAACTACTCTCGACCAACTCTAACAAGTTATATAACTACTCTAATTACCTTGCCTTGTTTTCCTTTATTCTTCTGTTGTACTTGCTAAAGATGAATGCAGGGAGAGGTTTGGGAAACTAATACACCCATATGTTACAAATAATCTCATTTTACTCTGTTTTTATCTGTTCTAATTGCCTTCTCATTGCCCATTTGAAAGTCTTTCATGTCAGTGGCACATTTCAGTATCACAAAGAGCATGGTTGGGTGCTGTAACTTAAAAAAGGTTTTTGCCTGCAATCACAATTAGGATTAATCCTGCCAGAAGGTTGTTTATAAGTAAAGTTGAAAAAAAAAAGATGTTACTTTTGAAATAAAAATTCTTGTTATATGAATTACTAAATATTAATTTGGTTTGTGTTGCTTGGCCAAGTTTTTAATTTCACTGCCGAAGTTGAATAACTTAGAATTGTAAAATATATATAAACTCACTCACAATATATGCCTTTTATTATTCAGATGGAGAAGAGTGGCATCTCAATTAATTGCTTTACCCTCAAGGGTCAACTTGCAAAATTAGAATTAACTGGATTAGGGACATTTCAACTTCTTCAGAAGATATTACATCCGGTTGGAGGGTTAGTTATTTAAATTAGAAAAAACATTACCTTTTTTTTCCTGATTTTAATGATCCAAATTGGTTTATTCTTCTTTTTGGCATTACAGTATTTCAGAGAATCATTGGCAGTTAAAGAAACATGTGGCTATAGAAGATGAATATGATTTGCATAATAGAAATTCATCCATACTAAAAAATGAGGATAATTTTTCTTGTCGTGCTATATTATCTCTTAATGTCAAGGATCCTCGAGAGTTGTCTTGGAAGAGGAGTTTTCAAGTGGAGCCCATGCTAACTAAGGGTCGGAGTGATGCACAAGAAAAGAATTACAATGGGTGTGCTGAATTGAGAGGAATTTTGGACGATAATAAATATTTATCTCCATCATCATGCTCTAAACATGAAGATAGCCAGTCTAATGTTGATGATCTATGGTATGCTACAACCAGAGGGCTGAGACCACCAATGGAAGATAGCATCCTTTCCAAGGAGAAACACCATGAACATATGGTTAATTTCTGCCTTGATGATATTGATCCTAGGGAGGCCAACTCTTCAACTAAGGTGCAGTGCCTGGGATCTTGCCCTATTCTTCTTTTAAAGAATGATATGAAGGAGTTGATTATAGGGTAACTTCCTTGATCTATTTTTTCTTTTAATTTGTTTGAAATTGTGTATGTTTATGAGCATCTATCTAGTACTATTGTAGTGCTTGTTTTCTTGAAAACAAACTATATGTATTTGTGATATCCTTTTTAAAGATATACAAGAAAAACAATAACATAAACTTTAGATAATTTAAGTTTTAACACCTTACTATGATCTTTCCTAGCAATAGATGAACTATTTATGTTAAAACTTTCCTTGTTATGTATTATACAATAAATGTTTCTGTGATGTCTTCTAGATGGTCCATAATACTTCCTTTAAGTTGGGTCAAAGCCTTCTGGATTCCACTCATCTCTAATGGGGCACGTGCAATAGGTTTGCAAGAGAAGCATTGGATTGCGTGTGAAGTAAGTTTTTGCACCCCTTAACGTCTTAAAATATGCAAAATTTCTGCTTTTTTATATGTAACTAAAATAGTGCATAAAAACTTCTCTTCATACAGATGGGACTACCATTTTTCCCTTCAGATTTCCCAGATTGTAAGGCATATTCTTGCTTTATGGAAGCTAAAGCTGCTGCACTTAATAAAAAAACAGAACTTCATCCTCCTTCCAAGAGGAATTTGAGAGTTCCCATCCTTCCTCCATGGGGTATAGTTCGCATTACGATTAACAAAGAGATTAGTGCAATGGAGACTCCTAATCTTTCGACTGAGGAAGATTTGACAAATGCTAATTTATTACCTAACACTAGCACGGGAAGCTTTAAAATGTCAAATTTTGACTCTCAAAGTTCTTCGTTTAATGGAACTGTAGCAAGGACAGGTTGTATGCTGACTACTTTCCTCAATGAAACCAAAGTTGGTCAATTGCTATTGTTTCCTTATGCATCAGATGGTAAGGCCACTATCTCTAAGTTTATTGAGGGTGAGTTAAAGCTTGATCCAAGGCATAGAAGCTCTATCATTTATGACCGTAGGCTATGTTTTCTAAGAGTTCATCTTCATCCATTCAAGGAAGGATGTTTTGAAGAGGGTGCAGTTATTTGTGCTCCATATCCATCTGATATATCTTTATGGACTTTAAGGTAATTAACTTTTAAAATTTGAATTTATATTTTATTATTGATAATGATTTTTCCCCTTGGCTGGATGGATATGGTCCATAATTCTCAAAAAATTTTTGTTGAATTGGCAAACACCTTTGTTTTATTGGGGTACCGAGTAATAGAATATGATACCAAATGTTTTTTTTCCTACGAGTTATTTTTTTGTGAATTTCTCAATTAGTTTTAGGCTAGAATGTGGGAGTTGGATAGCAACAAAACTACATTGATTTTCTTCTATTTGTTTGGTTCATGCAATTCAAATGGAATCTTAGAAATGTTGTATATTGTATGATATTAGGTTTTACCTACCCCTAAGTACAAGATGAAAATGAAGTGAGATTCTTCTGCTGCTTGGAATAGATATTAAAACTATAATGCAGAATAATGTCAATCTCTTAAAAATATGTATATATGTTGTTGCAGTTCAGAGAAAAGTGAAAAGCGACTTCAAATGTCTCAATCTACTATGAGATTATACTTTAAAGAACATTCCTCGGGTAACTGGGGACTGGGGACACCAGATGATTCAATTGCTGGAGAGTCTCACCGGTGGCCTATTGGCTTTGTTACAACAGCTTCTGTCCAAGGAAGGTTGTGAAATCTTACTTTCTTTTACACTAATCTTTTTCTAGTAGTCCTAGTATAAGATTTAATTTTGATAAACTTCTAGAGAAGATTTTATATTAGAAAAAAATTAACATAAAAAAAAATTCTTTTATAAGTTAAAAATAATTTATATTTCTCTATTTTTTGAGAAATTTTCTTGTTCAACTTTTTTAAAATTTAGAAAGATAAATTGATTTTAACTTGCAAGAGAAATTTTATTCATTTTTGCATTGAATTTAAATTATGATAAAAAACATATTAATGTTTCATTATAGAGATAGAAAATCTTACTAGGTGCAATGTCTGCAGCAAAAGGCTAGTAGCACAGGGGTGTTGTGAGGCGGTTTTACTATCCCATTTGAGAGAAGAACAGTGGAAGATGCCTATGAAGCAGAGGAAGGAGATATATGTCCTCGTTAGGAATTTAAGATCTGTAGCGTATAGACTTGCTCTCGCCTCCATTGTTCTAGAATATCAGGAAAATGACATTGAGTTTATGTAAATATATTTATTCTGGACAACATGCAGCTTTGCTACACCAGTGAGATAGGGAAGATTTTCCTTGGTAGAAAAGAGAGGAATACCAATGGGAAAAAAAGAAAATGTCATTTGAGATTACCACTCTTGTATATTTAGCCTTGTATCTTATTCGTTGTATTTACTTCGTTATTTGGTTTTTTCTTATGGTTTAAGTTTTTAAGAAAAGAAAAAGTGACGAGTGGACGTGATATAAATTAAATTAATGGTATATAATGGTAGAGTAGTCATTAGTCAATTTGTGGAACCCAATGCTTTTTAATTCACCAAAAATAAGAGCATCGCATAAGTACAGCTTTTTCAGTCAAACATCACAAATTTAACTATGCAATGCAAAAGTAAATGCTTTCTCAGAATACTTAAAAAAAAAACATTGGTCAAACCAATGATAGAGTTAGATGGATAAAAGCAGCTTGAAATTTGGGCCAAAAGACTTCATTAGAGCGTAATATATTATTTTTATATTTTAATAATAAAAAATACAATTTATTATAAATTAAGTAAATAATAAATACACTATTATTTAGTTACATTAACAATATATTTACTTTGAAAACTTTTGTACTGAAATTTAAACTTCACAAAAACCCAACCCCCCCCCCCCTTCCTCCCTTTTATTACAAACTATATCATCTACTTAAAACATATTCATCATGTAAAATAGACGGTTGGTTGAATTATTAATCATTTTTATAGCAAAAATTTAGGGGAAAAGTGAAAGAGAATGTTGTTCAGTTCGAAAGTCCAGTCAACAGTTTTGAGTATTGAACCTAAAACTTACTAAAATAAAGTGTCACAATCTTCACTAATGCTGTGTTTGAATTGGGAGAAGGGTCGTAGGGAAGTAGAGAGAAGTTGGATGTTTAGGTGAGAACAGGGAGATTTGTTTTCCTTTATTCTTCTGTTACAATCTTCACTAATGCTGTGTACTAGTAAGTACTGATGTAACCCAAAAGTTTGTTTTCGTTTATTAATTAAGTTGATTGTTAATTTTAATTAACAAAATCAGACATTTAGATATTTGGGTTCTCTGTTCTGTGTTTCATAATATGTAGTATTTAGGTGGAATTGATGAAGGTCTGGATCAAAAAAATGTTTGGAGAGAACCTATATCATTCCAAAACTATTGCGAGAATAGTTAATATACCCCACTTCTTTAGATTGAAGAGTCTTCTTACAGGTGGAGAAGACTGAGGACAGTATTAAATTCATAAGCTCAAGGCCTAAGCCTATTGCTCTATATGTTTTCACCAAAAACAAAACACTGCGGAGAAGAATGGTGGCTGAAACATCATAGAGCAGTTTGAGTTTTAACGATGCAATTCTACAAGTAGTACTCTATCCATAGCATCTATTTCTAATTTATTAAATATTTTTGCATATTTGAATTTTAATAGATCTAAATTCTCTACAATTTAAGCACAACCGCAGTTTGCACTCTAAATTTATTTAAGCGAACAAAATTTGCTTAAACAAATTTTATAAAAAGGTAAATTTTGCTTAAAACATTTTCTTAAACAAATTGGTCACAAAATAATTTTTGCTTAAGTAAAAAAAATTTACTTAAGCTAAAACTTTGTGTAAGATAATGTAGTCAACTATTTTTTAATTAATTTTTTAAAATCTTTGTTCGTATAATCTTTATTATCATTCTCAACAATTTAACTCAATTCTAAATGATTTTACCTCACTAGTACTTAGTACAAGTAGTACACTAAATAATACATTTAGAATATTTGGTGAGATAATATATTTAAGAGTATTTGGTAACTAAGTAGTTATTGATAAGAAACAAAGGTTCCTCAAAATTTTTATAGTTTAGAGAGGAAGAAAATAAAATTTTTACTTTTTTTTTTTAATTTCGGCTTAAGCAAATTTTTTGACTTAAGCAAAAATTATTTTTTTACCAAATTCACTTGAGCAAAAAAAAATCCATTTAAGCAAATTTACATTACAAACTGCAGTTACTATTAAAACTACAGATGATCCTTATACAAAATTTCTCAAAATTTCTATAATTTAGAAAGAAAAAAATATGAAATTTTGAAATTTTTTGTAATTTTAGCTTAAGCAATTTTTTTTGCCTTAAGCGAAAATTACTTTTTCTCCAATTTATTTAAGCAAATGTCTTTCACTTAAGTAAAAATTACTTTTTTTTTGGTCAAATTTGCTTAAATAAAATAAAATTAACTTAAGAAAAATAAAATTTGATTAAGTAAATTTAGACTGCTAACTAGTGTTCTCCTTAAATTGTAAAGAATTTAGATTTATTTATAAATAAGTTTGTGCATCCTGCTTGATATATCCCTTACTGTAATTCTTGTTCAATGTTACTTTTCCCCATTTTATGTACCTCTAGTTATTTTGATTTATCTAAAATATTATTTCTTTGCAAACTATTGAGCGGAGCTTATAACGTGTATGTGTTTGATCAACAACAGGCTTTGGAACAATTCAAGAAACAAATTTTTAGTGCATTGAATTTTTAAAAAAACTTTTAATAATATTATATGAAAAATGGGAATGCCATCTTTCTTTAGATTAAAATAAAGGTTGAATACATGGTTCTCTCTTCCCCAATATATATAATAACATGGAGTCTTAAAAAAATATTAAATTAATTCTTTTAAGAATTGAATTTTCAACACTGTCCGTGTAATATTATTAATCGGTGAATATAAATATTATATTTTTTGTTAAAATAATGATAAATTTTATTAAAAATTAAACATTTAATTTTTTTCATTATATAATGACTTTTATTAATAAATTAATAATAAATTTTATATAAATTAATAATTTTTATTGATATTATAATTCATGAATAACAACATAATAATTATAATTATTGGTCAATACAACTTTTTATATAATGAAAAATTAATACTTAAAATTAACATTCATTGATTATTTTAATTCTTGATATTAAGATATGTCAGTTTAATCTTTAAACGTAGCAACTATCGTAAATATAATAACTAATAATGAAATTTGTTATTGATTAGATTAAACAAACTGATGATTTTAAGGCTTAAATTGACTAACAATATTAATTTTTAAGATTAAATTAATTGACGGCTGATAAAGTCATTAATCTATTTTTTTATAATATTAAAAACTAAATAGACTAATTTTAAAAAAAGAAATTAAATAAACTGATAGTATTAATTTTAAATCTTATATTAATATTTTACTCCAAAAATATAACAATTATTAACTCAAAATTAATTAACCGTTCATTTTTATGAGCAGTGGGAACTAGTAGCGTGTCTGAGTAACTTCAAGATTCAAGAATCAATGTAACATGAAATAGTGATATTTTTTAAATATAGTTTTTCATATATATATATATATATATATATATATTATTTTTCTGCATTTGTTCTGTTGTGAGTTCCAGGCGATTCTACATAAAGTATATAAAGGAGAACCGAAATCTCAAGAAAGAGCAAAGACCGTTGCAGTTGTTCTGTCCTTTCTCTCTCTCTCTCTGGGTAATTTTGTCGAATAGCTGAGCCACCTAATCCCAGCGCTGTCCAGAGTGTCTTTTCCATTTGCAGCGAGTTGAAGCTCCGAGAATGCACACAACTCGGAACCTTTGAAGCGTTTCATCAACTACGATGCTTAGCGAAAAGCGACTCAACAGTGACCATGCTTGCTTACCGCGATAACTAGCCAAACATGCCATTAGCTACTGCTGAACTCAACTTAACCGCGAACTTGCTTCCTAAATCTAACTGAAAAGACATCACTGATCAACACTTGCAATTTTAGAATGGAAGATGATATGGAGAAACTGGTGGTAGAAGAAGGAGTGGGAATTGAGCGACACAGAAGCATTACCTTCCAAAGCTTAAAATCGTACTCGCTGCACCTTCTCGACCTTTTGCAGAACCCTCAGATTGAGAATCAGAAGCATTGTTCTGTCACTGTAATCCCCGACCTCCTTCGTTTCCTTCACAGTTCTTCGCCCTCTACTTTACAACCCTTCTTCGAGTAAGCTCTTCTATCTGTTTCCTTTATATAACCATATCATCACGGTGTAAACATGATTCGCATTTTCTATAAACCCTAATTTACGACAAACTCTAATTCTTTGGATATTCTTAACCTAGCTATCCGAAACAACTTTAATGAAGAGAAAGAAAAACATTACACATGGATTCGGCTATGAATTTCCCCCTTTTCTCGTGCAATGTGACAAGGAACTTTATAATTTAGAGTTTGGATTTTGAGCCGTTGCTGCTTAATTGATGCCTATTTTAACCTCACTGTGTGGTGTATTTGTTTTTGTTTTTTCCCCACATTCAGCTACACTTTGTTCCCGTTACTTCTGCTCCTAGATGCAGCAATTCAGTGTAGATCAATGCAAAAAGTTGATTCTCAGGAATTATATAATGTGTCTGATGTTCCAAAAACACCTGTTAAAGTGAGTGATAGTGTTGCTGAAGGTGTAGTTAATTGTTTGGAGGAGCTTCTGAGGAAGTGCCGTTTGAATTCTGTGGATCAGGTGGGCTGATTGGTTTGCCTTTTACATTTGGTCTTGATTTTATACAGATTATGAAATATTTCTTTGGAATTTGTTGTACTTGCTTGTAGATAATGGTTGAATAAAATAGAACTGGCATTGATAAGTGTGCTGGATGTGTAAAATTGAGAGCTATGGTGCTTGCTCTCATTGTTAGGGAAAGATGAATGAAAGAAACAAATAAAAACAAAAGGAATCTAAGGACATGTGGAATTGAGGATGCTGGCCTGAATGCCAAAAGGAAAAAAAATCACGATTGAACCTGAAGCAGCACTGCACTGTACTCCAGACATAAGGGCCAAAACAGAAGATAGAGGACTGCACTCAAAATATTCTTCTAGTGTAAAAATTAGAACAAATGAAGATATCTTGTGCAATATGTTTAATGTGATACATATGTTGCTCATTTCATTTTTTCACCCTTGGTTTCAGATCATGGTTTGATGTTGTTTAGCTCATCTGTTATAAATGCTCTTTAGTGTAATGGGATTATGCGCTGTTTGCAGACAGTGATATTAGCTTGCTTAGCCTTGATAATTTGTTGTCACATTGAAGTAGTTTCAACAGGATAGTGCCAAAGTCATTTGTCTTTGAATAAGTAGGGAAGAGCAGTATTTTGTTGAGGCTTGTTTTTTATTTTTACTTTGATATCATTGCGCATGCCATTTGAAAGTGAACTGTGATGTTCTTTAACAGATGGTTCTTCTACTAAAAAAGTTAACATATGGAGCTTTGTTATCACCCTCTGAGGCTTCAGAAGAGTTTCGTGAAGGAATTTTATTGTGTGTCAAGGCACTGCTTTTGAATTTGCATTCCTGTTCTAATGTGTCTTGCTCGTGTAAACAAATTCCTGGCTTGCCTGCACTTTTGAATGACATTTATAATGATATGCTTCATAAAACTTTCAAGTATGGTTTGGAATCAGAGGAATGTTTGCTTGCATTTCTTCGGTCTCAAACTGCATCAGCTGCTGTTGGACACTGGCTATCACTTCTTCTCAAAGTATGTTGTTTTTGAATTTATTAGAGAAATTCCAAAACTGTTATGTTTTTTTTTTTTGGGGGGTACTTAATTTAGTTCTTTAACAACTGGTTCTTAAGGACATTTTATTATAACAGAATAACCAAAATTTATTTGAAGTATGTAGGCACATTCTATTATAGAAGAAAACTTCAAGTAATCAACACAGGGATCTTTCTATTGAGAAAAACTAAATTAAATTTCCCCTTCTTTCTTTTCTAAAAGCTGGTTACTTCATTATATATGACTCTATAATACCCATTTGGTCTTATGAAAAGACAGCAGATATAGAGGCTGGTAGGGGACAACGAGGTTCTGCAAGACTTCGAATTGAAGCATTCAAAACTCTGCGGGTGCTTGTTGCAAAGGTAATGTAAAAAACATGCTCTTTGAAAAGTTGTGTGATTTATTTATTTGTAAAAGAAAGAAAATTTATAGAGCTGAGTGGTCAATGCATGAGTAGAAAGGAGGGTAGGATATTCTTTGACAGGCCGCAAATGCATAGGTTTTGTCAAATACCAAAAAGATATCATCTCTACAAGGCCTTTGTTGTAAATTTCAAATAATTGCAATTCAACTATCTACACACACTCAATTGATGAGATAAAATAATAATAAAAAATAAGTAGTAAAGAAAAAAAGAAAGAATTAAAAAATGCAATTAATATAAATGGAATAAATTCAAATTCTAATAAACTTCCACGAAATAGTTTCGTTGCAAAATAGAATTATAGAACTTCTCAAAATAGACCTACTTAATTCTTAATGTATCCTAAAGGTTAATTATCCTAAGGTGATTGTTGTTCCTTTTTTGAATATAATAATGTATTTAATTAGACTAACTCATACTTTCGTAGTAATTATGTCCTAGGTTGTGAATAGCGTGCTATAGTGTCACCATAGTGGTGTTGTTTCACTTTGCAATGGCTGATGCTATTCTAAGTTCATTGTATTGCATGTTAGTGTTGCAAACACTGTAGCAGTGGAAATCATATTAATTCGCAAGTATCTTGGCTGCTACTGTGAAATGTTTCAAAAACCCAAAGATGTTCTAAATTTTTAATGGCTCAAAACCATGTATGGGGATGGGGGTATTTACGGTCAAAATAAAAAAAAAAAAAAGAGGCTTTAAATGAATGAGTTCAGAAAAACCGATTGTGCCTCTTCCCATTTTTGCACCGTCTTTTCTCTTACCCTTTCTTATCGTGTGACTCATCAACACTGCTCTCTGGTGGCTTTTTGGTAAGTTGCTGATGTTTTTCAGCCAATTTTTGGTGTTTTCTGGTGCACCACCATTCTTCGTTCATTCATCTGCATTTTTGGCCAAGTGCTCTGTTTGTCCCCTTGTTTTGCTAGTGTCTTGCAAGTTGTTGTTCTCCTCTCACTGTTGGCATTTTTTTTTTTGTTTTTGGTTTCTGACTGTTTTGTTCTCTCTCTCTCTCTTTTTCTATTTTGTCTGAATTCTCTCCTTATTCAGTTCTAGTTTTGGCCTTTAATGTTTTGTTACTTTAAGCCCATTGAGTTAGAAGCATAATGTCTAATATCACGTGAAAAAAACTCCAACAAATTTGCAAGTGTTATAGTACCAAGAATTGAATCAAGACAATAAAGATTAATAAAAAAATACAAAATATTCGAAACATTGTCATCAGTCCTTATTTAAGTTACACCTAATTTCTAGAACAAAAAAACTACTGAGTCATATTTTAATTACAAGGCAAAGTAAAAATATTAAACATGGAAAAAACAAGAATATGAAAAAATGATGAAGAAACAAGGAGATCTTAATCTTGCCCTTACAAGTGTGTTGTTTTGTAGATCCTGTAGTGGTGCGATCAAGAATCATTCTTCAAGTCTCTGCTTTCACTTTGATAAGTTGTGTTTCTTTTAGGTTTAAATACCCTGGGGCAAAGACCCTGGGGCTTGAAAATTACCTTTGGCCCATCAATTTTTGTTGAGAATCAATTATAAATGCTTTAGGCAATACAAAACATGGCTGTGTTCTTTTCTGGTTCGAACTTCAAAATTCTTCCATTTCAAATGGAAAATGTGAACACAACCATGTTTTTTTGACACTGGCAGGCCGCAGGTTATGTTCTTCTCTGACTTGCCATTTTCCTGGCTCGCATTGCTTCAATCCTCTTCTTTTCTTCCATAGACATTGAAATCTTTACATTTTAGCTCTCAACTGAACCTTCTTACACACCAAACCTGCGAACATAGTAACTTGAATTAAAACAAATAAAAATACATGCCAAAATTATCCTAAAATGCAAGATCATGAATGATTAAGTGCTATTCTAAATTACAAATCTATGCACTCATATGACATCCTCTTTAGACAAGATTAGAAAGGGAAAAAAAAAAGAAAACACCACAAGTTCTTTGGGGCAATGAAATTCTCGTCTCCTTGCATGTATGATTGGACATTCCAATGAAGAAGCTATGGGAAGAGGACCAAAGAGAAGATACATAAACTTTTTTCTCTCTCATTATGACAATGAAGCACTGAAATTATTCTATTTTCTTGCTCCACATAAAATACAAATCCATTTAATGGTTTTGGGAGTGGAAAATGGGAGGGAGAGCCCAGGTCTTTGAATAACTGGAGTGTGAGACTTTGTGCTCTGCATTCTATTTTGTTAGCTTTCAATTATCTTTTAGCTCTTTGTCCTCCTTATGTGAAATTTTCATTTATGAATTCTTTTATCTAAAATGAATTGAATCAATTGAGGGTTACTTTTGCAGGTTGGTTCTGCAGATGCATTAGCCTTTTTTTTACCTGGAATTGTCAGTCAATTAGCTAAAGTTTTGCATGGTGCAAAAACAATGATAAGTGGGGCCGCTGGAAATGTGGAATCTATTGACCATGCAATCAGAGGCTTGGCAGAGTTTCTTATGATAGTCCTCCAGGATGATGCTAATGCACCTTCCCTGGATATTGAAGCATCTTCAGACTTCGATTCAAATGAGCGTAATTCTACGCTTTCTCTTTTGGAGGAGCTTCGCCACTTATCAGTTAAAAATTATGTCAAAACAAAAGCTGCTGAAGATAGAAGTGTTGAATCAGAAAAATTTTCTTGTTCTCAAACTCAAATGCAAGAAATGGGGAATACCAATCCTAACAGAGAGAACATATTTTTCCATGTGAACCGAACGAAAGGTTGGATGCAGAAAACGTCAGAACATGTAAATAAGTTGTTGAGTGCAACTTTTCCTCATGTATGTTCGATGACTTTAGTTTCCTTGTCTTTGTTCGCAGTCTTTGTATGTTTACAACTATAATGCTTTGTGTATATTTTAATGTTGTAATGTGATCAGTGAAAACATTGAATTTCAGATTTGTATTCATCCTTCACAAAAGGTGAGAAAAGGACTACTTGATGCCATAAAAGGACTCTTGTCAAGGTGCTTCTACACACTGGGGGAAAGTAGATTGATGCTTTTGGTGAGCCCTGAACTGTTTAACTGGGAATAGTGTTAGGTCTGTACCATAACCATTGGTATGGTTTTCTGTGGTTGATAATATGACATAATATAATGAAAAATTGCTGATGGATTTGTAGCTTAGTGAAAAGTAGTCCTTAGCAAAAGCTTAATACTGGGTTTGATCTGTTCGAGTTTTGGTACTTGTAGCTTTCTGTTCTCTATTCCTTCACCAGCTCTTAGAGCCCTAATATCTATAAAGTAAAAACTGAAAAATTTGAACTTGATATTTTAATTCATTAGGAAACTACTATTCCTAATTCATGTACTTATGTCTAGCATAGGAAGGAATTAGTTAGAGGAAGGAGAATAATAGTGGAAGGGAAGAGAGGGTTGGCATGGTAGACCAGCACTGTCAAATAACCTTGATTATCTGCATTTTCCTTCCCATTCTGTGTTAATTTCCAGTTTAGTTTCAGTGTTTTTTGTATGATCAGACTCCACTAATCTTGATACCATTTTGAAATCAGATCAGAATAGGAGATATACCATTTAATTTTCTGCTGTTGGCATGTTTCTTTTGTGATTCTGTTCCTATCAAAATGCTTGTCTACTAGAGTGTCTGTTGATTTCAAAAGCATCTCTCTCAACTCAGAAAACCATTGCTGTAATATAGTTCTTACGATATATGTGAATTGAATAATTTATGATAGAAGCAAGCAGTCCTTTACAATAGATTGAATGTTGAACTTTGGAGGAATGTAATATTCCTACTTCCTATATAAATTATGAGGTTTGTATGGAATAGCGCTCTTAGTGTCTCATGATTTGCAAAGCGTGGAAAAGAGGACATCTTTATCTTTGTTGTTTCCCATCTTGTAACTTTGTTAAGGAGTATTCCTTATCCTCCCTTTTTCTTTATAGTTTTTTTTTCTCCCTCTTAAAAGACTTCTTTTATCTAAAGATGACTGAAAAATAATGAAAAAGATAATCAAGGACTCAGGACTTAGTGTAGTGAGTATTTATCAGAGGATAATTATTAGTATCACTTGCTATCTGTTTGGAAAAGTTGATCTGAGGATACACCATGAGCGAGTTCTTTTTGATCAATGTCCTCCAATTACTGGAGTCTATGGGAGGATAAATAATGGGTAAGTCTGTAGGAGTCCTACTACTAGAGCTTAATTTGGCAGTGGCAAAACTCATACTTATTCTGTAGAAGTATAGGATGGGCAGAAGTTTAGGTGCCAAGGAGTATGTTGTGATGTTTCCCTTGAACTACAGGGAATTATCCCTCTAAGAGTTGATGGCAGTTGTCCAAGCTGTCCAAAAGTGGCACCACTAGTTGTTGGGGCACCATTTTATTATTAAGACTGATCAGAAAAGTTTAAAGATTTTGACAGAGCAGAGGTTGCTGAGTGAGGAACAGTTTTGGTGAGCTTCTAAATTGATAGATTATGATTTTGAAATCCAATATAGGCCAGGAAGAATAATACAGCGTCAGATGCTCTTTCAAGGAGAGCGACATTTGCTGCCAGTTGTGTTATACAATACAATGGTATAGAAAATTGGCAAGAGGAAGTGCAAAGTGATGACATGTTTACCTTGGGCTGAGTTTTGGTTCAATACAAATTATAATATTTGCAGCCTTGTATGCACAAGACTCTTCTTTGTTGTTAAAAAGGGTCTATGATCTCTTCTAGTGTAGAAGAAATTAATCAATTCACAAAGGAGAGAATTTGTTAGCAGAGTTGAGAGCCAATTTGCTTAAGGCTCAAGATCAGTTGCGGGCATATGCTAATAAGTACAGATAGAATGTAGTGTTTGAGTGGGGAATAGGGTGAATGTAACGCCCTCTCTTTTCTAAGTAACATGTCTATTAATCCCTGATCAGTGTAAACTCAACAGTAACTGAGCAAATACACTAAGAAAGGGAGATGTTTATCTTCGGAAAATTTTTATATTAATGATTGGAATGTATTGTAATTATTTGAAATTGTTTTGAGGTAATTTTTCCTAATTTAAGACTGCTTGGTAAATTGTCTTGATCAATGTTGTCAAATGGTGGCCATGGCAGATTTTTGATGGGCAGGCCATGGCAGCTGTTATGTGCGCCTTGTGACCATGGCAGAAAATGTTGGATTTTGAGGAAAAAGGCAAACTAGGCATCTCACCCAACCCGGTCCAGAGTGACCCGTGAAAAAAAAAAACCCTAAGACCTAGGTTTGTGTTGTGTTTCATTGTCGCGGCTGTTGCAGACACTAGCAATGGAAATTGCTTTTCATTGACCCAAAAATGTCCCAAGTTTTTAATGTTGTAAAACCATTTATCAGGTGTATTTTGGGTCAAAACTAATAAGGCTTCAAATGGGTTTGAAAAATTGATTTTGCCTTCACATAATGTTCAAAAGTCAATGAATAGTTATAAATAAAGCCAACAAGACTAACTCCTCTTTGTATTGTTCTCTTGACTCTATTTTTCCAATGTCTTTCAACATCAAATTAAGAGTGTGCAACGCATGGAGTTCAAAACAAATATCTTTTAGTTTGCAACACTTTACTGGAAGTAAAATTGCATAATCTAAAATTAGAAACTAATAAAATAAGAATGCAAATTGTTAAAATGAAATTACTTGAGAGTTAAGAATAATTCTTACCAGCTAATACATAATTACTTCCATTGTTAGTTTTTCTCTCCAATCTTCTCAACAAAACTATCTAAGAGCTCAAACAACTTTTCTTTGATTTTCATATAAGCATTAATGCTCTTCACAAACATAGAACCAGTTGGATAATTTACTAAGAAATTGATCAATGTTTTATTTTTTTTATTTGTCCATGTATCTGACATAATTGAACCTCCACACTTTTCTTTTTTTTTCTTCACAACTTTTCAACATTTCCTTTGTATACTTTAACTCTTTTTTAATAAGAGAAACTCTACACTCATGATAGTTAGGAGGCTTTAGATGTGGGCCATAATTTCCAATAGCTTCAACCATTAATTTGAAGCTTTATGTATTGAATTGCTGTATGTATTGAATTGTTTTTGCTGTTGTCTCCTTCACACAAGCATCATTTATACTTGTTTGTCTTTTTGCCTTTGTTAATTTGATGTTTGTTTCTGAACTCTTCATCCACAATAAATCCAAGTGGCCCTTGACAATTTTCCTTTTTTGGTGGCAGTAAAACCACTAACATAAGCTGATGCAGCACTTGAGGTTGCAAGTCTTTTTCTACTACGAATATTTTGAATTTCTTGCACCTCTGTCATTATCATCTTCATAAGGCTGAACTTAATATGCCTCTTTCTCAGCTTTCTTCTTCTTATGAGCTGCTACTAGTGTTTTTTTTATTTTTTTGGGAATCATTGGACAATTATCAATATCTCCCTTTACTCCCATGTAATGCCTCTTTGCTCAGGTAACACAGCCAGTAGTAGTTTTTCACAAAAGTCACAAGTAATAAACTTTTTATTATTGATGTCTTTCAAACTGTTCTATTGCTAACCTATATCCAAATTATTATCTGTTGGCTTCACTAATGCACAAGAAGAAATTGAAATAGAGATAATTCCTTGCGACTATTGGCATAGTTGTCAATAGTGGCCATAGCAGCCGCTATCGCGGCAGAGCAGCGTAGTCTTGCTATGGCGACCCAGTAGCGTCATGGTTCAGTGTTGCGGCTGTCGTGCCGCGAATAGTGGCCAGAAATCACAGCTGTAGCGGTAGCTATGCTGTCCTCCCTGAAAATTCTGAATTTGCCCTTTATTTTTTAATGTTGGGGGCTTTTAGGAGGGGGCAATCTTGAGATTTTGCCCCCTTTATTTTCTAAATCTTCTCCCTCCCTCTCGTAAACCCTAGCCCCTCAACTCACCTCTTAACTAGCTCTCCTCTCATTTTTCCTTTCATTTCATCTCTGTTCTCTTTGTTTCCATCGTTGGAGTGTGGCCTTCATCTCCGGCGAGGCTTCTAACAAGAAAGGGACGTTATCTGGTCATTTTCTTCATCTCCGGTGAAGCTTCTAATGTGACCTAGATTATTTTGAGTCATTTTCTTCATCTCTTGTCGTCTTCTTCAAGGTTAGCAAAGCTTTTGTCATCACCCAAACACTTTCCGGTCATCTTCTCCATCTCTGGTGAACTGCACATTTTTTGGTAACTAAACATTTGTTTTTTTCTATTTTTCTTCTCTGTTTTGATTCCCCTACTCTGTTCTGTTTCAAATTTCAATGGCTACTCTTGCACCCTTTGTCGTCTTCTTCAAGGTCAGCAAAGCTTCTGTCATCATTGAAACACCTTCCGGTCATCTTCTCCACCTCTGGTGAATTGCACATTTTTGGTAACTGAACATTTGTTTTTTCCTATTTTTCTTCTCTGTTTTGATTCCCCTACTCTGTTCTGTTTCAAATTTCAAAGCATCAAGTAGAAGCAATGGCTATTCTTGCACCCTTTGCTGTTTCTTATTTATTTCTTTCTCTAATTTGAGTTTTCCATTTTTGTTTTGTTCTAAATTTGTATATTAATATTATATTTTTCAGCATGTATGTGTGTGTATTAAAACTTTAGAACAGTGGTCATCCTGCTACCTCTATCCTCGTTATAGCATTTTTGAGGTTGGCCGCTTTGGGCCGCTATCGGGGATTGACTACTATAACTATTGTTAGGAGTGGCCATTGCTTCTATTTTAGGCATTGAAATTTGAAACAAAAAAGGAAATAAAAAATAGAGAACGGGGAATGGTCAGTCATTGGAAAATGTTTAGGTTTGTCAAAAATTTCGCCGAAGATGAAGAAGATGACTAGAAAATATGAGGATCATGTCAAAAGCTTTGTTGGAGTTGAAGATGACTGGAAAATGTTTGGGTCACATCAGAAGCTTCGATGAAGGACAATGGAAGCAAGAGGATGTTGCATGAGACAAGGACTTAGAGCTAGCTCGACAAGGGAGAAGAAGATATCATAAATGTAAAAGGTGGGCAAAATTCCAAAATTGTCCCCTTTAAAAGTCACCGAACATTCAGAAAGGGAGGGTAGTAGGGATTTGACCTAGGATAAAATAGTGGCTGTGATGACTGTGATTCGTGGCATGACAATTGCTACATTGAAACGCGACGTGACAATGACAACGGGATAGCGGCACCCCATCGCTTCGCTCCACACCTCTGCGATAGTGGCTGTTATTGACTACTATGGTTATCACAAGAGTCTATGAGAGGAAGAATGAGGAAAATAGTGATAGTGAATCAGAGCTCTGAACATTTGTAACTAATGAGCAGCAAACTATAAATAAGATGAAATCGCATAAGAGGACATATCTTTTGTAAAATTGAGCAGTGGGAGCTATCCTGAAGCTCTTGAATCTTGGTGGGACGGTTATTGTACACACATTCTTTGTAAGTTGTAACTGATTCAGCTACCTCATTGGCTGGGGTTAGTGAAGACATTCTTGAATAAAATCCTTCTCTATTCTAGTTAATTTCTGGTCCTAGTGTTTATGAGGTATTGGCTTAGTTTTTCATTATCAGATTAAGATGTGCACAAAAGCATTAAATCTCATTGTTTTATTTTATTTCTTCACTAAAAAGTTATATAATTTAGAGGAAATTTTAGTCATTCTATAGTTTATTGGCATATTATGAAATTTATACACTAAAATATTTTCTATTATGGGATATTTCATTTTGTTCTACTGCTTTTCTATTTACTTTTATTTAGTTATTCTTTTAGAATATATTTATCTTATGTCATGTAATCCTCTCTTGTTAATTGATTTTTTTTTTTTTAAATTATTTTGCTAATGATTAAGGAGTGTTTATATGATCCATGTAGCTTATACCGCCTAATGGGATAAGGCTTGGTTGTTATTGTTGTATTTATGTCATGTAAGCTATCTTGTTAATTGTTTTTTTGTTTTTTTCTTTTTTCCTTTTTTTTGTCAAATTCATTTTACTAATGATTCAGGAGTGCTTATGTGCCTTGGTGGTTGATGGATCTAATGATGTGTCTTCAGCTGCACAAGATTTCCTTGAGTTTTTGTTCACCCAGAATTGCAAATCTACTATAAAACGCAATGCTGCTGAGATATTTGTCAGGTTCATCTTTTTATTTGGACTTACTCATAGATGATGGCTTCCCTTTAACACTTTCTTTGATCAGAAATATGACCTATTTCAAATTCAGGCACCTTGAGAAGCTTCCCAAATTGGTGTTTGGCCATGAGGAGTCACTTGCTGTGTTACATGCGCAGCAATTACTAACAATAATATTTTATTCTGGTTCTCATCTATTGGTGGATCATCTTCAGTCTCCTGTACGTGCTTCTATAATAATTTAACACATTCTTGCTATACACCTATAATAATTTCTCTTGTATGTTTCCTTATTATGTTATAATGGAAGAAACTAATAAATGAACAAATTGGAGTATATTGTGGGTTTTCTTAATACAAGAAATAATTTATTAAGATAGGAAAGGAAGATTCAAAAAGAGGATAAGAATTCCTCAACAGCTATAGATTACACAATAAAAAATAAATGGAACAAAGAAAACAGAAATCTAGAAACATGCTGACAGGCCTAGTTCTGAACTAGGCAGTTATACATGTAATTTTGTATAAGGAAGTTAGTAAGCAGTTTTAGGTCAAAAGTTATGGTTATATATATATATATATATGTTATGTTATAGACTTGTAAAAGGGAAGTAAGGTGTCCGATTATTATTCCTTGTGTCAAAGTAGGAAGCAACTTTGGTGCGATACTGAGCCTCAAGGTGTTCAAAGTGTTTGCAATAAGCACATTGAGGACAAGGATGGTGCTGTAAATGGTTGAAGGGTGGACATACATAGCAATTGTGCAGAGACTGAATCATAAGACGAAATTGTTGGACTACAAAGAACCTGATTGCGAACAAAATTGGTACCATATGAAGAGAAAATTTATGAAACTTTTCTGTGTGTATTGCATATGACCCTGTTAGAGATAAGTTTCCAGAAAGTTTGAAAGTCTATAAGAGGCAAAATTTTAGGAGAGGTATTAGGAAGTAGATTATCTTTCTGTTATTATCTTTTGTTATGAGTAGTTAGGGGTAGAGGGATTTTAGGAAAAAGAGTAGTTTAAATAAGGAGATTGCAGATAGGAATTGATACTCACTGTGAGTAGCATCATAGAGCTAGGGCGTTGAGCCGCTTGAGAGCTCACTTTTCATTGTTGTTTCTTTGCTCAACTGAGCAACTCAATACACAATTGAATTTCAGATTTCCTATTCTAACAGACCCAAAGGTCTGAATTTATACAAGTATATAAGAATCTATAAATTACAGAATATTATTACCTAATGAAGGTAATTACAATATTACGTTCTTAATTACTGTATTTACATATCAACGGGTGTAGTTAGTATATTTACATATCAATAGTAGTGATCCTAGCCTAGTAAATCATTATATGGAGTTATATGATTGTTATTGTTAGAATATCTAGAACATATCTCAAATCATCATTCTATCTTTTCGAGAGTATTTTATCTTTTATGACTGATTTCTTAATTTCATTATTTGCTTCCATATTTAATTAGGATTAGGAGTTTCTTGTCCCAAATTCGGTCACATGCCACTGCATCATATTTTTAGTTTATTTTCTTTTAGTGTGTTTTAATTATAACAATCTTAAGCATAGTAAACTTTAGCTTGAAGTTGAGGGTAATTGTTCAAATGAATTTCTATAAAATACCTCATTATTGTATCTTGGAATATTTTAATAAAATTTTCTAAGTGGTTTCCCTATTTCATTATATTTCAAGATTATTTTTCTTTATTTAATTAGGATTAAGAGTAAGCTTCCCATGTGTCTATATAACCTGAATAATTAGGTTGACTATAGTATAACTAGTATAAGCCTGGCCTAATAACAGTCAATACATTCAAAGATGATATGCCTTTAACACTGCCTATTCAAGTTGGAGCATATATGTTAATTATATTAAGACAGGTGCTCATTTTTAATCCAGATTGTCTAGGTTCTATGCTATGGATTATTGCTTCTTACACCCTTGTTGTTAAACCAGTGTTACATGGTTATAGCAGCGTTCCAAATTAGGTTACAGTAGATGTTAGCAAGAACAGACCAAAATATGTGTGTTGCATTGCCCCTTTATATACATGTGTGCTTCCTCCTGCAACAGAAACATTTTTCGGTTGATGCAATGCTAAGCGAATTTTGCTCCAAAATATGAATCAAATAAGTATACCCTCCCAGCATGTACTTAGAAAAGTCCCGTACCATGTACCAAATCATACCACAAACCATGTAATATTGAGTTAAAAATTGTTTGGGTATAGCACATCTCATTTGTTTATACTTTATGTCTTATGCATTTGGCTTTAGTAAGAATGATCTCTTTTCCCATTTACTTTCATGGACATAAGTTCTGATGCTTGAGTTGAAAATGATTAGGTAGGAGCTGCTAGATTTCTTGATGTATTTGCTGCATGTCTAAGTCATAATTCGGTGTTTTCTGGTTCACTTGTAAAATTTACTTCATCAAATCAATCATCAACCATGGGATATCTTCCCTCCATTGCTGAGTTGAAATCTGGAGCTAATTTCTTCAGTTATGGCCTCCCTGATTTATGTGAAGCCCCTAAGTGCAGGCTTATTGAGGAAAAAAGTAAAGAAGAACCTGCACAAAACAACTATGAGCTTCCTCGCATGCCCCCTTGGTTCAGTAATATTGGTAGTCTTAAGTTATATCAGCCTCTGGCAGGGATTCTCCGACTTGTGGGTTTGTCTTTGGTGGCAGGTGATTTCCAATTCCATGTTACTTTTTCATAGCTTTCAAAGTGTTCGTCTTTAATTTAACCTGGATTAACTTTCTTGACCTTTATCATTGCTAGATCATAGAAGTGAAGGGCTCCTGTCACATGTGATTGAGACACTACTTGGTTACTTCCGTAAATTAGTTTCCGAGCTTCGTTTAAAAGAACACAATAAAGAAAGCTGGCAGTCTTGGTATGAAAGGAATGGTTCTGGGCAGTTATTGAGGCAAGCTAGCACAGCTGCATGCATGCTAAACGAGATAATATGTGGTCTGTCAGATCAAGCAAGTAATGATTTGGCTAGAATATTTCATAGGTCTGCTATAAGCAGAGGTGTTCAGGTTCAGTCCTACAAACATGATTGTGCATTTCCTGAATCTTTCTGGAAGATACCTAAAGGTGTAAAGAGTTATTTAGTTGATTGCATTGGTGGGATATTACATGAGTATTTATCTGCTGAGCTATGGAATGTTCCAATTAATCATAGAGTTGCTGACTTGCAGCTTAATGCTGCAGTTGAAGATATTAGTCTATACTTTTTCGAAGACACTGCAATGCTACATGAGGAAAGACACTGTTTCATAAGCTGAGATGGCTGTTTATATTTTGTAACTTGGTGTCTTTTTTCACATTTATCTTTAAAGCAGATTGATGTAACATTGACAATGGGTTCCTTATTGTGAAACAGGTTATTATTGATGGAGTAGGAATCTTTAATATGTGCCTCAGAAGAGATTTTGTTTCTAGTGGATTTCTTCATTCTTCTCTTTATTTATTGCTGGAGAATCTTAATTCTTCAAATTACCGAGTTAGAAATGCGGCAGATTCTGTCTTGCATTTACTTTCCACCACATCTGACTGTCCAACGGTTAGTTTTTTAGTCATGATCATTTTTAATTTCCTAATTTCTCTTGCATGACTATTGACTACCATGATATATGCATTTATGTAGGTTGGACATTTAGTTTTGGAAAATGCAGACTATGTGATCGATTCAGTATGTCGACAATTACGTCATTTGGACCTTAATCATCATGTGCCAAATGTGCTAGCATCCATACTCTCCTACATTGGAGTGGCTCGCAAGATATTGCCTCTACTTGAGGAACCGGTACGACCACATCCTCTTAATTCCTTTTTAAGGCAACTAGCTTCCTCAATTTTAGGGTGCATCATGATAATTCTTTTGGGCTTTGGTAGTTTATGATGCATACCAAAGAAAGGTTGATTTTCTTTATGATGCCCAATTTGTATTGGGCATTGTGAGATTATAGTTGCATTTATTTGGTCATTCTGTAAAATCTATTGGCTTGGATTTGATATTATGTGTGTTAGATTTAGCATATTTTAGAAAATTAATTGCATATTTTTTCTAGCTCTCTGAGTAAGCTTTTCAAATAAAGGTGATTATTTTCTCAAACATTTGATTCCAAACCTGCACTATTTTGTTTTGTTGCTTGTCTAAGCAAATAATTACCTTCAAACATGCTTACACTTTATTGATTAAAGTCTTATGGTCTAATGATGTGCAATTGAACAGATGCGCTCTGTGTCTACAGAACTTGAAATACTGGGTAGACATCAACATCCTGATTTAACTGTTCCATTCTTGAAGGTCTGTCGCAAGCTAAACCCTCCCTACTTTTTCCTTCTCTCTGTTGTGTGTTTGTGTGCACATTTTTCCCCTTAAATCTAAATTGTGCTCCCATTTCCTTATTGAGTGGATTTTATTTAGATACACTCCTGGTTCTTCACCACTTTCCTTATTGTTAGGAAGTAACATTCCAATTATAGGTATATATGCTAAAGATTATCTGATTTCATCTTCCAATTCTAGTGGTAAGCCTACAAGGCCAGCTGTTGGCACTCAGATAAGGGCAATCATGGGGTCCTCATATGTATGTTGGTCTTCCAAGTTTTTTCTTTTTATTGAAAAAGTAGTATAAAAAGGAAGATAAAAGAGCAACTGAAAAAATAGAACAGAACAAAAGTATGGAAACTCTTGGTCTTCCCCAAATATCTGGTTTGTCATGTTCAGTCAATGGTCTTCACATAGTGATTGTCTCTTCATCTCATTATGTGGCTTATGAAATTTCACTTTACGGTCCTTTTACATCAAAGTATACATAGGGAGATTCTTGAGGAACTAGGTAAGTTCTTTGATGGAGTAAGATTACTAGTGCATCAAAATAGGAATTCTTGTTGCCAGAGGAATTTAGGTAAGTCTGATCTGTTGCTTATGTACTTCTATGTGAATGGTATTCCAATCTTTGATTTGGATTATTAGTGTTTGGATTTTGTTGAAATTGAAATTATAGGTAAAGAAGAATGAAAGGAGAGAAAGATGTAAATAATAGTCTACTGAATATGTTTGATAAGTGTAATGTGAAACTATACATCTTTCAAAATATTTACAACTTGACATATTTGCGAACGTTTTACAACTCATTTTCTGTTTATTTAGCATCTATCTTTGCAGGGTTTTTGGATTAAAAAAATATGCTTAATTCTAATATCATTTAGTTTTCTGTAAATTGGTTGATTTCAGGCAGTAGCAGAAATTGTGAAGGCATCAAAACGTGAAGCTTGCCTGTTGCCCCCTCAGGCAGAGTCATTTGCCAGAGATGTCAGGTCTATAATCTCCAATTCAGAACAAACATTACAAGGTTCAGAATCGCAATCCATCTTTAACATTCCTTTTTAGCAGTTCTCTTGGAAACTTGACATTGAATTTGAATCTTGCATCATTGACTTGAATACAAAATGCTTCATACGGTTTGTACTTTGTAGCTCTAGCAGAGTTCACATTTCCATGATTCCTTCCCTTCAGTTATTATGTAGTGATCAGCTTCATTTTCCCATGGTAGCTTCCTAAACCAATTTCGTACAGCATGCAACTCACGACCCCAAAGTTATATGCTTCCTGTTTCAAAATTTAGTAAATGGTATGGTTGATATTTAGAATGGATGTAGTGGTGATTGGCATTCGTTAGGCTCTATATATACTTGAGAACTGCTTCCCTTGTTGAATTTAGATATTAAAAATTTATTTCTTGATAAGAAGCTAATGTTTTCAAGTGGACTCCAGATTTTGGAAGTTCGTTCCACTGCAAGAATTAGAAGGGGCTGAAACTATTGTAGAATCAGAAAAGCTTCTTTCATAAGACCTACATTCAAACAGGGCCTTCAAACATATGTAATGTTATTAATGTAAAATACAAGAAAAATTTAATGTTAATGTCAATGGAACAAGTTTTCTCCTTCAATATGTTTTATAGATTGTAATTCCCTGTTACTTCCATAAATGTTTCTACACCAGGTACCTAATATTTCTTCAAGATGCCCTACTTGACATTTTATCCCCAAAGTTTTCTCGACTAACTCAAGCATCTTGGTCTGCCATTCTCATCTACTCTTATGATTGTTTACTTGTTCTTCCTAGGCTTTTCACTGCCATGTTCAGTTATGTCTCCACATTAATGTTATTAAACTGCAAGTTCTGTTTTGTAATGAAACACCTATTCCTTTGTAAAGGTTCTATTACACAGCCATAATCAATCATGATGGTACCACTTTAATCCAATATTTTGTAACAAATTACCTATTCCTTAGTATAGTTCTAAATAGCTAGAAAAATGAATGATAAAGCTTTAAATTATTCTTCAAGAGACTAATATTTTATCTATTTTGGAGCCATTTACTAACAGCAGCTTCATGTTACTATACTAGTATCCATAAATTTTTTCTTATCCTAACATGTAGGGATCTTAAAATCTATATAAAATTATATAAATTTTACATTAACTCTAAGCCATTAAGAATTACCACCATCAGCAATCTTCTAATTCTTGAGACAGTAGTATATAATAGTTTAATTTAAAGTAGAAGTGATGCTAAGTAATTAGATAATATGAATCACTCCTACTCGGTCTTCTAAGAGTTTAGGTTCACATCCATAATTGTAGTATTGTACTACTAAATTTCCTTGACTATGTTGTGATGCAACAGCATGATAGGACTTGCATTGGTGTCTTTGCATTAACCGGATTACTTGATCCTTGCTCTCTTGTGGTAATGGTGCTTTCTCAATTCTCTCTAAATGAAGTGTTTTGGTTGTAGACCAGTGGGAGGTCATTTTATTCAAATTAAATGATTCCACAAGATATAGACGAACAGTTGGTTCTATTGCTGGTTCATGTATCACTGCTGCAATCCCACTTCTAGCATCATTCAAGGAAGAGATATGCTTGGCCGCCCTGGATATAATTGAGGTATCTTTTTGTTGAAATGCTTTGCCACTTACATTTCAACATTTTAGACATTGATGTAAATATGAGAAGCACATATTCCTTATCACTCGGGGTTTCACAAGCAGTTTTGTATGATTGTTCACAAATTACTGGACATTGAAGCAGCCATTTTGAATAAACTCTGAAAATTTGAAAATAAAGAGAGAAATTTATCTGCAGTTGAGATTGATAGATAATAGAAGAAAATAACATATGGAAGAGGAGAGGAGGAGGGAGGAAATTTTGAAGAAAAAGGAAAATTCAGGAAGAGCACTAAGAAACTTTTAAAGTCTAAACTTCATTTTTGAAAGGTATAACCAGAGGTTAAAATTAACTAATGAAAATTGCCTTAAACTGAGGTTGCTTTGATGGAAATATGTTTAAAAAAATTAAAAATTAGATATACTCCAAAAGAAAATATCAAAGGCGAGCATTAAAACAAAACATTTGAAGTATAAACTTCATTTTGGAAGGTTTAATCAGAGGTAGTCTATTGAAAATAGAGAATTGCTTTGACTGAGATTGCTTTGATGGAAATATGTTAAGAAAGTAGAGTAAAAGAATATATCCTGCTCCCCTGCTTCCTTCCTTTCTAGTGTCGGAAAATGTATGTTCTCTTGTTCACTTAAACAGCCAAAAGATTTTGAATCGGACCGAGAAGAATCTTTATTTACTGATTCAGGATTTTAGCATGTTGACTTGTAATGAAATTGGGAAATAAGATTAAAGTGTGAAGTTATTCTTTTGTGTTTGTTAGGATTGTGAAGATATAAATTTTAAGAACTACAATTCATCTCCGTTTGGGTCTCTGGCATAGATATTTAGAGATATTGGAGTGCCTTATTGTACTGATTTTTATGTTCTGGTTTTTCCTTATATAATTTAGAGGATATTTTATTCATTAATTTCCTCTTCATATTAGTGTGTGTGGATATGCCAGTCTATAGGCTTCACTGCTTTGTTCTGTATTTTGCTGCTACCATTATTAGTTGACATTCACTGAGTTCAAGCCTTAGCCATCTCTGACACCTCTTTCTACTTCCTTGTGGGAAGGCATATATTATCCTCTAATTTATGTTAATGAATTAATTTTTAACAAAAAGAAAATCCATGTACGGCCTGACTAGTTATTTATCTATAAGAATATAATGATATGTACTATGTGAGATTTATTTTGTCTACCAGTTTGACTATAAATCTAAAATCATTTAAAATAATAAATTTATTTTGTATTTGGATCATTTCTTGTTTTAGAGTGGCATGTTGGCATTAGCAAAAGTAGAAGCAGCTTGTAAGCATGAAAGAGAAATTAAAGAAGCAACAGAAGAAGCATTACAATCACTATCGTTGTATCAGATGAAGGATACTTTGGATGCGACTGAAGAAGGGACTGATGAAAACAGGCTGCTTCCAGCAATGAATAAAATATGGCCATTCCTGGTTACTTGTATTCAGAACGGGAACCCAGTGGTTAGCAATCCCTCATTGATGATCATTTCTTGTTTTAAGTTGGATTTCCAATGCTAGTTTTCATAATTGGATATAAACAATGACTTGAACTAGCTCATTCTGATGATTGTAGGATTCCTTTGTGGAATCCTTGATAACCTTAACATGATTTAATGTTTATGTTTTCTTGGAGTTATGGTTGATTGCTTAAGAGTTTTTAAATGTAACTCGTGGGCAGGCTGTCCGGAGATGTTTGAATGTGATCAGCAACGTAGTGCCAATTTGCGGAGGAGATTTCTTCACACGTCGTTTCCACACTGATGGGAGACACTTTTGGAAACTTTTGACAACATCTCCATTTCAGAAAAAGTCATGTTTCAAAGATGAGAAGACCCCTTTACAACTTCCTTATAGAATTAGTTCTGTGAATTCAGAGAATTCATTGGCTGAGACCTCCTATCTTAAGGTTCAGATTGCCGTGCTTAACATGATTGCTGATTTATGCCGTAATAAGAGGAGTGCCTCTGCATTAGAACTTGTTCTGAAAAAGGTAAGCGGTCTGGTTGTGAGGATCGCTTGTAGCAGCGTTGTTGGACTTCGTGATGCTTCTCTGAATGCCCTCCATGGCCTTGCATCTATTGATCCCGATCTTGTGTGGCTTCTCTTAGCTGATATATACTACACTACGAAGAAGACACAAACCCTGCCTCCAGTTAGACCAGGTTTACCAGAGATATCTGAAATTCTCCCTCTTCCCTCGTCACCCAAAGAACATCTATATGTGCATTATGGAGGACAAAGTTATGGTTTTGACATAGATTTGACCTCTCTGGAGATTGTTTTCACTAAAATTGATTCACAATATCAAATGTATAGCTAAAATCCGAATCAGCTTTTATAAAATTATTTTTATATTCTCTCAACTATTTTTAGCTTGCTATCTTCCGTTGAATGTTGACGGGTGATTGCAACCATTTATCTCATTTCTGAACTAGAAAATGGTCGTATCATTGCAGATTATCTGGTTGGTTCTAAAGAATTTTTTAAAAGGAAAAAAGAAATGGAAGTAAACTTTTGCCGGTGAAGAATTCTAATTCAAGTGACACTTTTGTTTTCCGGGAATTACTTGATATGATGATGGTTATCTCAACTATATTAAGCAATGGGTTAGGAACCGGTTTAGTTAGACACCATTTGCCCACTCGAGCGATGGCATAAGACACGATTGCTCCAAATTTCCAGCAAGGGATCGATCTTAAGATTTGAAATGCTTATGCAGGGTGTTACTAGAGTTTGTATTATATTATATTATACTACACACGACTTTTACAATAAAATTGCTCCTTCGTATAGTTGCAAGTGCACAGTGATTGTTAAGTAGTACAAAGTGTCATCCTATCTACAAAGATAAAATAATTATAACCTAATTATCTAAATGTGACCAAATGACAAGATAATAAAGAGGAAATGGGGAAAAAAAAGAAAAATAATAAAAAACATAATTACTTTCATTATAAGCTTCTAGGAATCAATTTTATTAAAAACTAAAATTAGAACTGTCAAAAAAGTCTAATTAGTTCATTCCAGAAGTCCCATGGGTCAAAAAGTAATTACCTATCCTCTTGGTGATTCAGTGATTCATCTTTGAAAAACTTAGCCTATTTTGATGGTTTAGAATATCAATTTCAATTTGAGGTTTCAATGGTAAGATTTATATTTGAGTCCTTTACTTTACATCTAAAATAATGTAAACAAGGGGTTCAACAAATTCACAAACATTAAGAATACCAAAAATTGAATAAGGAAATCAAGATTATCAAAAGATCATAAAAAATTTATTACATTGTCATTAATACTAATTTGAGATACTCTCAAACCTTGGAATAAGAAAACTACTAGGTTATTGTTGTATTACAAATCAAGAGAATAAACCTAGACATAATTAGGGTTTATTAAAAGAAGATGAGATTAGAAAAAAGAAACAAAATATAATCTCTGTTTTTGAGGTATGTTGCTCTGACAAATCCTGTAGTGAACATTTAGGAATCCAATCCCAAAAAGTCTCTGATGTTTTGATCTTTTCAGGATGCTCTTTTGATTCTTCTTCGACATATGCTTCCAAGATGTTTGAGATTGAACTCTTACATTGTGCTCTAACTTTTCTATTTGCATTAAAACCCCTTTTAAAACTCTTAAAACTGATAGAAAACTCCAAGTTCATGTCTATGCTACTCAATCTAAGGCCGTGGGAAATTTCACGAGTAGGTTGTGGATTTCTTTGAAGTAGAAAACCTACATTCTGGCCCTTGACAATATGATCCACGACTGTGAGAATTTCCACTGGCTGACAGTGGATGTCTCTGGACCTAAGTAATGATTTTCTCTTTTTATGGGCTTCCTTCACAGCCATGGACAACTGCATTGGCACCTAGTAGATTCTTTGGGAGATCCAAATTCCTCTCTTTTGAGCTTCAAATGCTTTTAAATTTTTCTTTATCTCTTCATCAGTATATAAAACACAAAATGTAGTAGTTATTCGAACTAGCTAAAGAAAATGCATGCTAAATCTGAATTAAAAGTTTGATTATGCAACATTTGGATATTGATTTATGCTTAAATAATATGATAAATACACACATAAATCCATATCCCATATGATTCAATGTTTAGAATAAGAAATAGAGACGCTCTTCATCCAACAATAGCATGTGGTGGAATTTTTAAACAAGATTCAGTGAGAGTAACCCCAAAACAATTTACATAAGATTGGGCCTAAATCTTTCATATGCAATACAAAACGAACAATAACTTACTTTTTAATATAATGTATCAATCAATAATTGGATTAAAATATGTTTATTACTATTATGGAGCGGAGCACTTGGATCAAGTGTAAGAAGTTGTTTCAACTTGTGGTATCGCATTCGAGTTCCAATGAATGCAACTGTATTAAGTGCTCAAAGGACTACAGTAATTTTATCCAGCTTAAATAAGATTGCCTCCAATAAAGGATACTCATAGTTTAGAAAAAAAAAATATTTATTAATAAATGATATTCCTCTTTCTTCATTCTTTTCACTTATTTTTTTCTTAATTAAGTCACTTAGCTTAAGTTATAACTCATTCTTAAAACTGTAATAATGTAGTCATTAGAGCTTAATTTAAGATATGCACTCTTAATCGAGATCTTTAGATTCAAAATGTAAAACACCAATGAATAAGTGATAACATTTTGTGATTGATCATTTATATAGTGAGTAACATTGAAGAAAATAGAAAATATTTGCTAAATCTTCACTACAAGTTTCTATTTTTAGGTATTTAAGATCAAATACTAAACAATGGAAAAATTAATGAATATGTTACTTATAAAATATAAATTAGGTGGTTAAAGTGTAAAAAGATATCATAAGTTATTTGTGAACATAAAATACATATTAAGCTAAAAAGAAAATTTTATAGTACTACTACAATTTTATGGTAATGAATGTTGAACTTTAAAGGAACAATTTAAGAAAAAAGTGAGTGACATAAATAAGAATGTTAAGGTGAATCAAAGTAGACACACAAAAAATGACAGAATACAAAAGATAGTATATAAGAGAATATTAAAATAAAACGTATAATGAAAAAGATGGCTAAAAATTATTTGAAATAATTCGGTCATATACAAAGAAAATCTATGGAGATGCCAAAATAAAGAGAGTAAATTGCATGACTTAATCCAATACAAAAAGATAGAGAGAAACTCACAAAAATCTTTTATTAAAAGAGACATTTTAAATCTCTTTTGATTAACTAAATTTCTAAAAATTTAATTTTTGACTGAACTTATTAATATCATGTGATCAATGTAAATGAATTCACCTAATAAAATTAGACTTAATTATTGTTATTGTTATTAATCTCTAGTCACTTTCATCTACAACACAAATGAGTGTGACTTATGGCCTACTATAACGTGTAATAATATACTATTAAGTTACATGAAAAGAGTTTTGTCCTAAAACGTTAGCCTGATAGTTGAAGCTTCAAGACATATGTATCAAATTTGGGATTCAATCTCCATTTCCCATAAAAACCACCAACCTTCTTCACCCCACGACTCCCCGTCCCCTCCCCAAATACCAAAAATAAAAAATAAAAGATTAAGAAAATGAAGTTTCATCAAAGTAAGGAAAGCTCCATGAAAAAGGAATATTACATAGTACTCGACTTTCCCAATCTGAAATATGAACATGCTCTTCCCCTTTGTGTAACCGACAAATCAGACCTCAAAACTTTCTGTACCTTACAAGATGTCAAGAACCCTTCCAAATTCCAATTCCAGCTCAATATAGGACAGACTTGTAAAACGGTTCTTTTAACAGTTGTAGTCAATAACATATTTACTTTGACATAAAAAAGATAATTAAGTTCAGCTAACAATCGAGACACAGCATTCACAATATTAAATTTTCAGTTTCAATAAATATCAGTATTTTACAATGACTTTTGCACGGTCAACAAGCTGTGTATTGGATATCACAGCTTGGGGCCTCCTCAACAACAAATTTGACAAGCAATTCATCATATACCAGAAAAGTCGTGGGCGTGATATACATTAATCACTATGTTTTGTAGTATACATCTACACAACTCATGCAGAGAGATGTAACAAAGAAAGGCGGCTAGCAATAACTAACCCAACTACTGTAAATTCATTCATCCTTGGACTCTTCCTACCATTCCTATATTTTACCTTTCCTATTGTATTTTCCTCATTTCCGGATATTTAGTTGGCAATGCCCTTGAAACAGTGCATAGACCAAAACCGAACCCCAAAAAATAAAATATAAATTAAAATGTTGAAAAAAAATCAATTTATCCTTGTACTGTTCCTTCTTCCCCACCATTTCTTCTTCATTTTCTCAAGTGTGCCATCTTCACTTCCAAGTTTATTCAAAATGACCTTTGTTTCACGTAGTCTTGCCCCATAATCCTTTTTCCAAGCTTCAAACATCTGTTTTAACCTTCTAAGCTCTTGATCTGGGTTCAAACTAGCTTCTACCTGACCAGATTTTACCTCAACCAAGAACTTAGCATCATCACCAAATACTTGACTTCTATGTTCAAATTCTTCAGCCAGCCGACTTATAACACTTAAACCAGCACTCGTTGATCTTGCCCCATTGCTTTCTTGGCGTTTGTGATTACTTCCCACATCCCAGCTGTAATCTCGCTCATCACTTGCATTTACAGATGCATCTGAATTTCTTTCAGAGTCATCAATAGCAAGGCTCTTCTTTGCAATGGAGAGGCTAGATTGTAGGGATCTCATTTGCTTCTGCCACACTTCTTCCATGGATTTCATCTTCAATTCATACTCAGACCATCTGCTCTCATATTGTTGAAGACGTTGATGAAGGATGTCATTTTCTTCTTCTTTCTCTCTCAGGGAAGCTTCAGCCTTGAGTACCCGGCGCTGTAATTCAGCCAGGAAAGACGACTTGACCAGAACCTCATCTGACTCTTTTGTCTGTTTGGGCATTAATGATTGTAAATGTCACAAAGATGGAGCCATTATGAGCAAAATATAACCGTTTGTAAAAAAACAAAAACAAAATGAGTTAAATATTATAGTCTAAACTATGGGAAAGAGAATACCTTCATGTCTCCAGATTTCAAAAATACAATATCTCCTGAGCATCTCCTGACCAACCAACCACGAATACCTGCAAAAAGTAGCTTGAATAAAATTGCAAAAAAATTTACCAACAATACCATTGAAAAGATAGTTGTCCATGTTTCAAAAAAATATTGCATTCTTTGATGTATAATGTTGGAATATATCTTGGAATATTTTACAGTATCTTACAGATTTCTCTTGGTATTATTTTT